TTTTTTCTTAGGTGAGAAAAAGGATAGTAGTAGTCTAATTAAATCCCTCTATGGTAATTATAAAAAAAAATATAAACCGAAAGTATTTTTATGATAGTAATACTTCTGTAATATTATATGCTATCTAATTTTGTTTTTGAACTAAAAATGAAATATATCCCTTAATGGTTGACTTTAGACCCAACGTCTATATAAGAAACTACGCTTTATTTTAAACAAGAATCGCTCCTAAACTTTTTTGAGACACCTTTGGGGGGTGGGGGGGAGAATAAAGACATAAATGGGATCGTGTATTAACTAAAATACGCGTAGGCGTGTGTAAAAGTTTATATTGTGTAGTTTGTAATTTTCCATTAAGTGAAGACTTTTTTAAAAGGCGTATCAGCGTAATTAGGTTGAAAATTGATTTGTGTGAATTCAAAAATTCAAAAATTCAAAAAAAAATCCGGAAGGCTTGAAAAAATGTAATAATTTAAAAAGCTTTGTCCATATAAATTATTTTAAAAATTCACAAATAAATACCAAATTGCTTTAGTAATATTACAATACAATTGGCTAAGTTATTCAAGACTGGAAGATTCTCTATAGCCTTTAAAAATGAACAATCACTGAAGCAACTTATAATTAAAATTAAGGATCCTGTCGATAATTTTTCTAAATCAGGTGCATATTCCTTGAAGGTTGAAGAGTGTAATACAGTTTATATCGGAGAGTCTAAGGGGAAGATTTCCATTTGGGTGAAAAACGACACTGGTCATCTTTTGACCATTGGGTCATAAATTTCCTCCCAATTAGAATATCAATGTTTTACATGAAGGCAGAAAGAGCAAAAAAAAAAGATCTTTTGGAGAAATCAGAACTCACCATCTTTTTATCTTGAGTAAACGATAATCTCATAGGTAAAGTTATAGCAGTCGCAAAAATAAAAGGAAGAACACTTCTCCAGTTACGGAATGGTCGTTACATCATTTAAGGGCCCTCGTATCGACTTCCGGTAGGTGAAATGTGCGTTCCCTTCACACCTGTCGATGTACCCACGCTTTATCCCTCTTTATCCCTCCCTCTACTCATCTACTCTACTAATTTCCTAACGAACTAGAAACCCAAGAACACTTTCATGTATTTCAAAATATTGTCACTAACGACACGCAACGGTAGGATTCATTCTTACCATTACAACTGTCAATTCGAATTATCATCCATTAAATCGTGAGATCGGATATGCGCGTGTGCATCAATTAGGAAACTAATAAATATTAGCTTAAATTAAACTACACCTTTGCGTGCATCTACAAATACTTGTTAAGCATAAATGATTATAGTTTATTAAAAAATATAGGTATTTTAATGACATTTATGGACAACTGTAAAAAACAAATTTGCAATTCTACAAACTTACCAAAGACGTTTCAAATGTACTAACTCAGAATAATTTTACGCTCTCCGATAGAAATTTGATTCATAATCATAATTGAAATTTTTATGAAAGTTGCTTAGAATAATAAAAAAAAAACGCTCGTAGCTACTCCAAACACAACGACTACCACATCAACAATGACAATTCCATAGAAACCTTCTTCTTCCTTGCTTTTATTGGGCACGTATACTATGGACACTCGCCCATCGCCGATACCAAAAAACCCATAAATAACCGAGCTTAGGTTGGTTTAACAATTGCCACACAAATTTAAAATTGAGTCTATTAAGTAGTTGGATATTTTAGCGAAGCTTTTTAACGACGAAGTGCAAATAAGTCCTGATATCAAATTTCGATTTTCGCAATACACGTCCTTGTGATTTATCTGGCCAAATTGTAAAGTTTTGATAACCCGATAAAATATAAAACGAACTGATTTCTATCCAGACTCGATCCGAGGCAATTATTATTGTGGAGGGGACTTGGGGTCGTCGAGGATGGTAGAAATTTATTAGAGTTGGGAAAACTTCCGAATAAGTTTGGTAACTAATATTGAATGAAAATATAATCTTCCGTACCCGGTAGCGAATAAAAAAAAACGACTTTCTTGTTTTCACCATATTTTCCATTTGATAACATTATTGATATTACTTTGAATTGCTTAAGTAGTCTGACAATTAAATGGTTCGAAAGACAAAAATGAAAAAAACTCAGTCGATATTTTGTGATTGACTTCGCACGTAGTTGTCGCCAATCACAAAAATGCATTTTTTTAAATTAGTTTCTCCATTGGGTATAAAACAACTAGTTACAACTTTCAGTCGTCCAAAATAGTTCATATCAATTTTCAGCAATTTATCAATTTTCAGAAATTTATTGACGATTTGAAATAATTTCATAAAAGAATTAGATAGCCAAAGAAACCGACGCTTTATTTTTGGATTGACATTTTAAAACCGTACCAGAAAAGCAGTGGCGTACCACTTTTGCACATAATAAATTTTGGATCCTATTTTTTTTTGCTATTTTGCTTGTAGTGGAAATTCATTACTTTGTACTGGGCTATTCATTATATTTTCACACCCACCTAGATGTTTAAATTTGAAATATAGAAAAAAAATAGGGTAAATACAAAAATTTAAAGATTTTGGCTTTATTATCTTATGCAAATGTCAAAAAAAAAACAAAACGGAATGAGCTATGCATTATTAGCTTGAGCGGTAGATCTTTTTTTTTTTTCAAAAACATATAGTTTATTGGCTTTTCATTTAGCCATTTTTGAGAAATTTCAGTTTAAAAATAATGTTCATTCGATTTCTGAAAAATAACCATATTGTTTAAAAATGGTCAAGTCTGCCTTGATAGTAACAATGTTCTACTTTTGATAACAAATCGACACTAACGATCTGCGATATATGAATACAATATTTTAATATTTCATATTTTATGGAAAATCCTGTTCCTTCCAGTGCAAAATTTAACCGATGAGCATAAAAGGCAGATGCTCGAATTTTGAACTGAAATCTATGGAAGATATGAAGAAGATGGAAATTTTGTAAACAAAATAATATTTACGGATTACGCATGGGAAGAATAAACATTTTTGATCCACCAATAATCCACACAAAATGCAGGCAGTGAAAAGAATGAACGTCAGTTAATGTATGGTGTGGTATGTTGAACAATATGATTGTCGGACCTATTACGATATTTAACGATATTTAAATTTCCTTGCAACAGAAATAGAAGAGTAATAAATATAAATAAATAAAATGCGCAAGTTAGGAATTATTTAAATTTGATTTAGCGTCAAGATGGCGCACCTCCACGTAATGTCCAATCAGTTACGGATTATCTCAGTAATAAATACAGACTTTGGATAAGTAGACAAACAACTATGAATTGGTCTACCAACAGCGCCGACCTGAATCCTGGTGACATTTTTTTGTAGGGATACTTAACATTAAAATTTATTACAATAGGCCTGATAGTTTACAAGTGACAAGGGATTTTATCACATCGTGTATTAATAGGAAATTGAAAGGAAATATTTTCCGATGTATAAAAAATATTGGACGTTATATGGAAAATGTTTAGCATTAGTTATTGATATTTTTATTGTCTGGATAATATAATTTTATTATTCGGCGTTTTTCTTCCTCAAAATAAATAAGAACTAAAAGTTCAGATTTCCACGAAATTATATATTTTGACATGACAATTGTTTCGACAACACCGTGTCATTATCAAATACATCACATTTGATAAAGACACGGCGTTGTCGAAACAATTGTCATGTCAAAATATATGATTTCGAGAAAATCTGAACTTTTAGTTCTTATTTATTTTGATAAATGGATTTTCATCAAGTAAAAGCCACCTCAGTTCAGTTTTTCTTCTTAAGTATAGCCCATTTAAAACATCTTTACTTATTTACCTTACTCTGCAGGTCTTTAGTTTTGAGTAGTCGTTAAAATTAGAACATTGTTTATTAATTGCAAACATAGGTAATATGGTTGCTATCAGGGCAGACTTGACCATTTTTACGCAATATGGCTATTGCCCAGAATTCGAATCATAATTATTTTTAAACTGAAATATCTCAAAAACGGCTAAATGAAATGCCAGTAAACTACATGTTTTTATTCCTTAAAAAAAAATGATGTTGCCGTCAGTTTGACAGCTTGCGATCGTCGTTCATTTTTTCTGACATTTGCATAAGACAAACTTTTTTATTTTACTGTCTTTCAAAATCAATCCTGTAGGTGCCAAAATATAATGGATAACCCTGTACGTACATGTCTGATGAGATCACTTCTTTTCTGACATCACGAAGTGATTTTATGACGCATGATCATAAGGTCACCGTTAAACCACAATACTTACTTTTAGCATTCATTTTTTTTAGAGGTTAGAGTTCGTATTAAGTTTACACAAGTATTTGTTTAAAAAATGGGACATTTTTGTGCAACACAATATAAGTAAATAAAATTGGGTTAGACTTGGGGGATCACAGGAATATTTGGTGAACAAATCGATAATTGCTGCCCAGGCAGACTTGACCAGTTTTAAGCAATATGACTGTTGTCCAGAAATCGAATGAAAATTATTTTTGACAGTTTGACAGCTTGCGATGGTAGTTTATTTTTTCTGACATTTGCGAAAGATAATAGAGCAAAAATCTTCAAACTTTTGTATTTTACTATCTTTCGAAACTAACGCTGCAGGTGGGTGTCAAATTACAATGAATAACCCTTTACGTACATGTCTGATGAGATCGGTTCTTTTCGGACATCACGAAAATGGAAAATTTTTGTACAATACAATACAAATAAATAAAATTGGGTTGGACTGGGGGGATCACAGGAATATTTGGTGAACAAATCGATAATTGCTGCAAAAGCATTTTTTAAAGCAAAACATGTCGATCGATCGGACGGTCTCATTTGTTATTCGTGTGTCGACACACGGTTGTCTTAATCCGCTGCATATATACTGGTCCCATATAAACACACATTGTAGTTTATCGAACAGCGCAGCGGCGCACCTGTCACGATCACATGTGGGTGAAAGCCCTCACTCAATTGGGCTTGTACTCTTGATAGGAGTGACTCATTCTCTTTATTGGTTTTCACACCCGTAGCGGCGTTTCGGACGGACATTCCATAATTTATGACTCACTTGATTGACGGACATGATTGACGGACATTTTGCCCGGTTTTTATCGAGAGCGTTGATGACGTATTTTTCGGATAATTACAGGGGTGGTTGTGTTGTGTATTTAGTGTGTTAGCGGTCAACCAGCAGTATCATATACAGGGTGTGTCAACGAGAATTAAATGATTCTTGCAGATCTTCGTAAGGGCAATCTTTTGTGCCAACGAAATTTCACAAAGTAATCAGCACAGTATAGGTACTTGAAAAATAACAATACACAAGTCGATTTATTTTTGACTAACTCCCACTCAATAATTATAATTATTTATTTAAAAGGATCTAATAACGAAAAAAAGGGACCGCCTTGCCCCACCCTCCTTGAAAAATCCTTGGCAGGCGGCTATGACCCCTAACTTGACTCTTGTCAATGAAGACGATTAGTGGAATAATTAGACAAGCGTCAAGCTCGTCGTCATGGCGACGAACGTAGCTCCAAACACAACAAACACGCGGGCTGCCGTTTATAAAGTAATGAGAGCGCCTTGCAAATATTTGGTAGTTTGTCGTAGTTTACACAAATAACTATATTTTGTTAACGGTATGAAGTTCAAAGTGACCCTGAGCCAGAGACTGAACGCCACAGCGGTTCCCATAACCTGCGTCGGCTGGGCAAGTGCCGAGGATGTTTACTCTATCAGGTACATTTAAAGGGGAATTTTTACTAATTTTATTAAAATTATTTGTGAATGGTATGAATGCATTATCAAAAAATAAACAATGTTTGCGAAAATGTGGGTCACATTGAGATGACGAATATGACAATATCGATATTAGGATAGTGCAGCTTTGCTCATATTAATATATATTATATATTAATTAATTATATATTAATGTATAATTAATTAATTATTAATGTATTTAGTTCACTGCCAAGTGGAAACAAGCAAAAGCCTAAATTATAAAACCCCACCGAGCTCAATTATCTGCGTTCAAGTAGTATACTGCCTACTACGTCTAAGATTCTAAGATGAACGATTTTCAAAAGAGTTACGATATCCTGCCGGCTGATCAGTCGTGGTTTAAATCGGGTTATACGAGGGCTGCCTTTTATATTTTGGGATTTTCTTAAACTAGCCGTGCCATTTGCCGATTAACGTTTTTATAGGAAAGTTTGACACGTTCTCTCTATAATGGTTAATTAAACCGATGTCGTAAAACTACGTATTTTAGAGCATAGAAAAAGAAATGGTCGTTATTCAAAAAATGTAAGGAATGTGCGAAGGATTTGAAGCAGTTTTCTTGTTGCTGATAATGATTTGGCACGGATAATCATACTCCACGTGTTAAGACATAGAAACAATGATGAGGAAAATCCCAACCTAACCAAAAATCGTTTTTTATTTTGATTGATTGATGTTTGTTACTTCGCTTTTGCACATTTAAGTTAATTTAATTTAAATTAACATAAAATAAACAATAGAATAGCCGCATTACTGGTAGGTATTGGTTATGCTCGTATTTTCTTCTGAAACCTCCTAGAACATAAAAAATTTAAAAATTTGTGTTCATAATCCCCAACTTTAATAACAAATATATCCTGTTTTGAGAAATATGTGATATATCAATCATTGTTTTTGAATGAATATGATAAGAAAGTTGCACTCTTCAGTATTTCGAGGTATATTTTAATTATATTTGTTCCCTTCAAAGGAATATATTGGTGTTTTTAAAACTGGACTTAGTTGTACCATTTTTATTATTATTTTTTAATTGCCCACAAAAAAAACATCACAAGGAACAGATTAAAAAAAAACAAACATTAACACAGAAAATAAAACTACAATATTGCAGGAACAGGAACTAAGATGCAATTTTTAGAGGTAACCTCTTAGCGATCTGTTGCCTTGAAACAATCTCTCCGTCTTCACATAAAACGAATCACAGAGTCCCACCCCTGGTGTCATAAAATTAGGTATTTTAGAGCATAGAATAACAAATGGTCATTATTCAAAAAAAAATAAAAAATATCTTAAGGATTTGAAGCAATTTGCTTGTTCTTCATAAAAAAAATGCGATTTTCTAGCGACGATAACCAGTTGCGTTCTTGGTCCGTGACGGACAACATGCCGACGAAAATCGCCGACCTCCAGAAAGATTTTCACGCCACCGACATGCATTTCGTGCCGAAAACTGGAGGGGCATCGACAGGAAAACACGCCGATTTGATTCTGGTCACCGCCATGGACGGTAAATTTCACATAATGACCAAAACCGGGCGTATTGAAAGAAGCGTGGAGGCGCACAAAGGGGCCGCCTTGGTAGGACAGTGGAGCAACGACGGCACGGGACTGTTAACTGGTAAGAATACTTAACGGTGGACTTTAATAGCTTTTCTTTTATAACTCTTCTTTGGACAATCTGTTATTAAAAACCAGCAGTAATCTGCCATCATGTGACAATCCCGGCGACCCTGATACCGTTCTTCCATCACTTTTAGATCCTGGTGGAACCACTCTCTCTGTTCTTCACTATAATTCCCTAAATTATCCAGGAATTTATCTAGATGATTCCGAAGATAGTGTAACTTTTGTTCATAAGAACTTATTTAGATTCTCGTGTAGGTACTTCGTATTGTCGAATAACTGAGATCTCACCTGTTCCGTGGAGCAAAGGGTGGGGATCGCTAAGAGTAAGGATCACGTGATGTTTGTATGCGCGAAAAAGTTGTGCAGAAGCCTAATAAAAAGCCGACTATTGTTCAAATTATAATATTCGTGAAAATCATAAAAACAAGAGCACATTCAGCGCTTTCATATATATATATTCGTGATCTGGACACTTGAAAACATAAAAATTTTCACATATATCCAGGGCAACGAAAAAAAATCTGTATTTCAAGTAATATGTATGTGTATTTTAGTATGTTTTTCTTAGAATTGTGGCATATTTTTAACGGCCTTTTTTCAGAAATAATTTGGACAAAAAATTGTTTAGCGACTCCAAAAAACTAAAAATATACAGGGCGTTAAATTTAAAATAACAAAGTCGATGATTCAATAGTTTTTATGTTACAAATGTTCAAATAGCATATGTTTATCTCAAGCCATTTGGAAATATCGCCGTACACTGTAGTTTTGTTGTCACCCGGTATAGTATTAGCCAACCTTCTTTTAAATAGCCGTCTTAAATGAAATGAATACAAGTAAAAAACGGACATCTTCTTTACTGATTTCGTAATGGCCAAAGATGATTATCGCCATTTTTAATTGTCAAAAATCTGTCAAACGTCGAAAAATTGATATTCTGCGAATTGTTGTAAGGAGACGATGCTTTTGGGTACTGTAATGCAAATTTATAAGCACGGGAATGATTTTTTTTTTTCGTTAAGCAACTTTTAACTTTTTCTCATCGAATCTACGAAATCGAATGTTTTATGACGATGACAATTACTTCCCCAAAATGGCTGTATGCAAAAAGGAGTCTGATTTTATATAAATTCAATCCATTCTATCATTTTATGTATTATTATTACGACTGCTGAAAGCGGAGACGTAAACCAAAAGACACAAAAATATTTTAAACCATTACTTTTTTATGTTTGTTTATATTTTTATAACCTGTTTATATTTTTATAACCTGTCTAAATACGAAAATCGTTTAAACAATACATAATAATCCAAAAGTTATGTTATGTTATTTGACTCTAGGTGAGCTGGTTTTTTGCGTTTTTCTTATTTGTTTGTTTCATTTATTTTTATGTTTATTATTTTGAAAAATATTAGAAATTCGTCCTAATTTTTTAAAGTTATTTAAAGGGGATACCCCGTATAATTACGAAACATTCAATAAAATTATTCAAAGGCTCATTTAAATCCACAACCGAGCGAAATGGGTAGCGGAAAAACAAAGCGCCTCTGGAAATCTTTAAGGGATCAAACCGCTTAATTAAGAGCGCGAAGCAAAGACTCCCCGGAACGGGGAAAATCGTGAGCCTCTATTTACATTTGTACAGAATTAAAAGCGATTTACCGACTTGGATATATATATATATATATATATATATATATATATATATATATATATATATATATATATATATATATATATATATATATATGTAAGGACGGAACCAAAAGATCTTTGGGAATTTCAGCCGGTGAAGACGGCCTCATAAAAATATGGTCCAAGGGTGGCATGTTGAGGTCCACGGTTGTTACCAGCGAGTGTTCTGTCTACTCGGCTTGCTGGTCGCCAGATAGTCAGAGCATCGCCTATACCCAAGGAAAATGTGTCGTGATTAAGCAGTTGGCACCGAACACCAAACCCACAAAGGTGAGTACCTATAATATGCCTCGTTCAAAATGTGGAATCTGTGGTGGAAGATCGATACATAGCTACCATTCCGCTCTAACAAGTTAATTCTATATTAAAGATATCTCTGTAGATTTTTTCAGCTATTCAAGATTCAAAATACAAATTGGGAGAACTAGCTATAGAGCTAGAGGTTCGGGTCTCCGATTAGAGTGAATAGCCTCGGTAGTGATTCCTTAGTGTTGCTTGTAGCCTTCGCTTTGGTTACAGAAAATGAGCACCCGAGATAGGTGTACACGTTGTTTACGTTGTTTCTTTGACAGCTTAGCAAATGTGATTTAGCAATGGACTTTCAATTGTTTGCACTTTTTTAGTTTTGATTAGTAAAAAGGTTTTTGGTCCAATCGTGAGCCTTGTTGGGCTATTTCGTGCCCTGGGATCCTTAACTCGTTGACTTGCTATCTCGTTAAATGCCTTATGACAATGTAAAAGTAACTTTTGGCGAGTCGCACGGCTTTTTTATATTTATTTGTCTTGGCGTTCTGGTGCGGTGGTCCCTGATTGAAACACCTGTAACTTGCTTGCCCATCTGATACACTCCTATGTAATACTTCTAGCAAAGGGCTGCTGTCGATGACCATGAAATCAATCAAATTTAGTTTTTCTTGTAAAACCGGCTGTCCTACGTATGTTAAGTATTGCTGAGTGTTGGTTTAGTCTTATCTCTGATCAGTCTTATCTGATCATTTAGTCTTATCTCTGATTATGTAGTTCCGATCTAAAGAGTATGAAAGTCTCTGAAAGCCACGAAAAACAAAATGTACGTATTAGTTTTATAACATTTCTGGAAGACAAGTCAGAATTTCAGACATAAATTCATAATATATAAACTTAAGATACTAGACACCAAAATATTTATTATTATTAAATATTGACTTTTTATTGCTCCCGCTATCTTTTCACAGTTTAAGTACTTATTATTAATTCACCAACTAAGGACAAAATTCAGAAATCCGAGATCTTTGTTGAACAAAATCACATTATTTGGGTGTTTATTACTTGCAGCTTAGAGACGGCCCATTCTATATAAATCACTGTTTTGATTAGCAGTGCGCTTTACGAGAAAGTTATTTTGACTTATTTGTTTTTGTTATTCCTTAACAAATATTATGATTTCGCAGTGTTCCTCCTTCGTTAATGAACTAAAATTCACTTTTAGTCATTGGTAAAGCCGACTCTTTGGCGATGATAGTGATTAATGGACTTTTTAGTGGATTGCTCACGAAGGTTTGGTTCTTTGCTTGGCGTGGAGCGTTGCGTCAGACATTATCGTCTCGGGCGGTGAGGATTGCAGATACCGCGTCTGGGATAGTTTGGGGAGACCAGTTTTCTCAAGTTCACTTCACGATCACCACGTAACGTCGATCGCGTGGGCTCCCGCTGGTGATCTGTTCGCCATTGGTGCCTACGACACTCTAAAACTCTGCGATTACTCTGGGGTAAAGTCGAAGAGACGGCAACGTCGCGCATTGTTACCGATACTTTCAGTGGTCTCGTTCGTTCGAGAAACCGAACGCGGGCAGCGTCTACAAGATGGCGTGGTCGAACGACGGTTCGCAATTGGCGGGCGCGTGCGCAAACGGTCAAGTCCTATTCGCTCACGTCATTGAACGGAAGGCGAGTTTTATGAACTTTACGGCTACCGTGAGCGAGAGAAAAGCGATAGTCGTGAAAAACGTGTCGGACGATACGTCGGAGTATCTGGAACTACCCGAACGCGTCATCCGGATGGCGATGCGGTACTCGCATTTGGTCGCCATCACGCCCAGCCAGTGCTACGCGTACGAAACGAGCAACTGGAACACTCCGACGATTTTCGATTTGAAAGATGGCGCGGTGGTGCATTTGGAGATGGCCGAAAAGTAAGGTTGTCGTTTCATTGTAAACCATAACAAATAAATTATATTAGATTGGTTTGTTTAGTTTCGAGTTCGCTCTATCCTTCTACGGTCTGTGGGTGATCTTTCACGAGCTTTTTTAAATATTCTCGAGTCATCCGTGCAATTGATGTTTGTTTTGTTTCAATATCCAGTCGTTTTGGTTAGTTTATTTAGTTAATATCCAGTCGTTTTCCCAAAAATGCTCCGCAATACTTTCATTTCCGTTGTCGTATTGGTCTAATCGTTGTTTTGTACATTTTAGTTTGTTCGATTTTTTCTTTCATTGTTGCCAAGTATTCAATAGGCCTGTTGTACATATTTTTAAATTCATTCTAGAATACAATAAGTTACACTATAGAATATTTTTCCTAAAAACAGAAATATATTTACTCTGCAATTAACGCAAAAAACGCTACTCCATTCGTTGTGACATCACGAGGTATGTGAAGACAAGCGACGCATTGTAGCAGTACATTTTATAATGTTATTCACATTTTTTTAATAAATCATATTTCTTCCTGCGTGTAACGCTCATCGATGCGTAAAGTAGAGTTTGAAATACTTCTTGACAAACAAAAATGTGTGGAAATTTTTTTTTCTTTGTTTTTTTAACTCACATCATTTTCCATATAGTTTTCCATATCCTGTTAGAACTAAAAAAGGACAATATGGTCAATAACAACCAAAAGTGAGGTTAGGCTACTATTTATTTATTTATTTATTTTTTGAATGGGAAAGCAGTTTTTAAAGTTTTTTCGCTTTTTGATGAAATGTCTGTAGGTTCGCGTCTAATGGCTTTTAACCAAATTTTTCGTTGTTTTTCTGGAATAGGCAATTTAATGAAATAATTTAAAACTCGCGAAAAAATGTCGAGCTGATAACTGTCAACGCGAAATCGTACGTCGTGACGTCACCAACAGCTGAGATATGTGAAATATATATCAAATTTTAATTGTTTAGCGGGAATACGTTTTAAGTCTTATTATTATGTTTATTTTTCTTAATGTTCGCGAGTCCACAGTCAGAAGAAACTCTTTTCAAACATAGCTTTGTTATAATATACTGTTGAGTATATTGTTTATACTCGTACATATCTGTGCAGAACATATTTTCTTAACATCTGCTTAGTACTGTTCAAAATAGAAGTACCCACTGTTTTGGTTAGTTTTGGTTAGTTAATGTGACTAATTATGGTCGACCGATGTTTTTAATTAAACAAGTAACCTTTTTTCTTCTTCTTAAGGAATTAAACCAGATATTTTCGATTGACAATGTCAAATTGCAGTCATATGTTGCTGGTAGAAAGAAGCACCGTAGGAGTATACAGTTACCAGGGGAAATTAAAGGCATCTCCAAAATGGCCGAATATGAAATTGGACGGAGTTAGAGTTGCCCATATTTCACTATCTTCGGATACGTTAGTAGTAAGAGACGTGAACGACCAAAAAGGTAAGGCAGTAGAGTCACTGTTTAATAATAATTCTTAAATTTTATTGACTTTTAACTATGACAAATTTTTGCTCAATAAATTGTATCCAAATTCGTCCATATAAAATCAACTTTCGAGATATCAAAAAAAAAAAGAACTGGGTGTCGGTCGTTGTTTCGGAACATAGTAGTTCGTATAATAACCTTGCTTTTTTATTTATTCCAACAGTTGGCATCACTTAATTGCCGCCAAAGTTTAATGAAAATTCGAACAAGTTCTATGAAGAACTTCGTGAATTTGTTTGATATCACGAATTAATTTACGAAAAAAATATAAGCGTAACAGTAGTAAAAAATAAATAAAATATTTAGGGGCAAAGAATGTAATGTTTCAACATTTGGGGGGGGGGAGAAGAAAATAAATTGAAAAAATGTAGATTTGACAACGGAAACATCTATTTATTCGTTTTTTAGCGATACACGTAGTCGACTTGATTAACAGTAGAACCAACAGCGAAATGATCGCTACCATTCAGCATTCCGTGCCAGTGATCGAGATAGCTCTGGACCAGCAGGGCGAGTTTACGAATAGAACGATGGCGTTGCTAGATAAGTCCAGAGATTTGTACATCGTCAAAGTCAGAAGTGCGAACAAAACGTTTTCCAGACTGGGTAAGTTACGCTTTAAAAAAGTGGTTTAACGAATAACGGTTATAGGTTCACATTGATCCACGTTATAATTGCACGTTCTTGATATGCGCCCAGACTACTTTGTTTTGTGCCTTCTAGGAGTGTCGCACTGCATTTTTTGGCGCAAAGAAAAAAATGTATTTCAAGAAACAAAACTTAATTTAATATATTTTTACAAGGTTTTGGCAACGAGTTTAACATTTTTGAAAATTTCCAAAATCGTCATTTTAGATTGTTTGAAATATCTCAAAAACAAAAAAAAAGCAATGCAATGGGAATAGCTTAAGTATAATTTTTGCTCTTCTTTAGCCTGAAAAAGTCTACTTTATAATATACATCAGGATCAGGAACCTCGATTTCTTTCAATTTGAATGAATCTGAGAAAATCATCAAAAATTATTAAGTATTACGACTTCATCCTGGCCAGATAATAGGTAGAATACAGAACTGGGCTACCTAAAGATAATGGCTAACTGGGACCAATTTTTGATGTCAAATATCGAAAACGGGATTTCTTTGAAAATAAAGTGTCAGCGGGTCTTATTCACTACCACATAAAACTTAAGGAGCATAAGTTTGTAGTAAGTTTTTGAGAGATCTATCCGACAAGAAAAAAATCAAATCAAACCGTAATCAAAGATTTTACAACGATGTACAAAGGATATTTCAAACACCCTGTATTGAGACATTACAAAAATCGAAACAGTTGGGTTCTAAGTGCTCCTGAATAAGAATTCGTTGCACAATTAATATCTTAAATAATCCCTAATAATACTTCTCTCTTCTTTGTAGTTTGTTAAATAGTCTCCGCTGGCCATGACTTTAAGTTGAAGCAATAAACAAAACAACAAAATTTTATTAAAATAAATCATAAACAAGGGTGCGCAATACGCTTGTTAATGTAGATATATAAATTTAACAGACCGTAGAAACCTAGGTGTAAATATTTTGCTCCTAAATTCTTCAGATTAAACCTACTGGCATATTTTTACCAATTTAAGTCTAAATGAATGGAGATTAGGATAGCTTTAAATTGATTGAAAACACCAATAAAGCTTCACGTGCTGACAGCACAGAAATGATTTAGAGTGCAAATAGCCAAATTGAGCGAAATATTTTTTGTTAGTCCAAAGGGCAACCGGTTAAATGTTCTTCCAGGAAGAAAAATTGAATCGTTCAGGTGGAACGCAAAAGTGAACATCCTGGGGGCCATCCAGGACGGCCTGGTCACAGTGTGGTACTGTCCTAGCGCTTCGTTCAACACTCGACTGTTGCAAATGTGCTCGTTTCAATACGAATCTTCCGATTTGGGCAGAAGTCCCAGGATAAGCGATTTCGTCGGTACTTCGGTGTCCGTTAGGAGGGCGGACGGCGCCTTGATTAACGTGCCGGTATCGCCATTTCCCGAACTGATTCACTTGTAAGTATAGTTTGGTCCAAATGATACCGTTAACGGCTGGATCGTAACAAATTTGTGCAGGACCGGCTTAAAAATATTTCAATTTAACTCCCTAAGCCACCGCACTTTTTTTATTTTAAACGGGAATTGTATGTTTTTATTCCAAATTTTAATTTCTCTCGAAAATTTTTATGTAACATTGCCAATAAAATAAAATCAATAAGCAACAACAAAAAAAGGAATTGCTAGAAATAAAACAGGAACAGAAAGAAGGCAGAGAAGAAACAACGAAAATTAGAGAAGAAAATTTAAAGCTCAACAAGGAAAACAAAAAATTTGAAGAGGAAGCTTAAGAAAGTATAAAAATATAAAATATATGTAAACGACGACATGACCAGAGAGCAAAGGCAAGCAAATAGAAGAAATGAGAGAAAAAACGGACGTGAAACAAGGAAAAATATAAATTGGTAAAATTCCACCAACAGTATGTGGTAATAGTAAATGACGTCATCGCGTCTAGATTGAGGGAGAAATAGTGATAGTGAGCTGTTTTTCTGGATGCCAAAATAACCACAAAAAAAATCAAAAATTAAAAAAATATTTTTTATTACTCCCAATTTAAAGGGTCTAAATGCGGGTCCAGACTTCTACTTCTCTCCCAAGTCTGAAGTCGGTAGCTGCAAATTTGTAGTACTTATTATATTTTTTAATATTGCACGGAATATCGCGAATACCCCGTAGAAAACCGTAAATACAAAAGTTTAAGCCGTCTATATGGGCTATATCGTCATGTAAAAGTAACTGACACCTGAAACACATATTTCAAATTATTGCCAATTTTCAATAACAGGGGGAACCATTTTTCAGATTTTCTGAATTTGCGGCGCACCCGGTATATTTTTGAAAAATTGTCAAGTTTATGGAGTGATTTCTTTTGCGTCTTCCGGTTCAAGAATTTTTTCGGTCCAGTAAACGATTTTTGAAAAATGTTCTCTTTTGTAGACCCTTGCACACGCGATTTTTGGTTAACTTTTGAGTAACCCAGTACAGTCATCCGTACCGGATAATTAAATATTGATATACAGGCTGTTATTGAAACGACTTTCAGAGTCGACGGGCAGATGGCGAAAATGCCCGTTATAACGCTGGCATCCTATGTGAATAGTATTTGAGAAAAATGTCTCCACCGCCTTGGCATAAAATGTTTGTTGCGCCACTGGATCTTTCTTCTTTTGTTTACCATTTCATGCTCAATATGGTCAAATGTTACTACTAGTATTATGACATCTGCTAATACTACAAATTAATTTTATTATTATTAGGTTTTGTTCCAAAATGTTCACGACATAGTTTGAACCAAACTATATGGGGCACCTTTATTTTTGCGATGCGTTTATTTCTAGAAAATTACAGGAAAACAAATGGGAAGAAGCAGTGAATCTGTGCAGAAATATAAACATCGATATTGCGTGGGCTTGTTTGGCGATATTGGCCGTTCAGTCCACTCAAGAAACTCTGGATATCGCCGAAGAGGCGTTTTCCAATATTGGCCTATACGACAAAGTATACTACATTCAATATATTAAGGTACGTTCTGACCAACTGCCACTACAACTAACCAATTTTCAGCAATGATCTTGGGTCCTTTTAAAAATCAAGACAAATCTATCTAATTTCAGTTTCATTAAATTTAGGACAAATCCACATTTTTGGGTAATCCAACAAGTTTCTAGTTTGCTTTTGGGCGTAAATTAGCCTTTATATTTCAAGTGATTAAAAGAAATACGCCATTTTTAATTTCACAGTTAAAAAACAACTGTAACGTAGTGGCACCAATAATGACAGAAAAATGTTTATAATTTAATTCACTAGAATTTGCCTACAAAGGCCGAACAAAAGGCTCAAATGGCTTTGCTGGGGGGCAAAATGGACGAGTGCGAGTCGATACTGCTTCACAATGGAATGGTTTTCCAGGCCATTTTGAACCACATTAATACACACAACTGGACAAGGTAAAATTGTTTTCAATAAACCCGACGTTATTCGGGTTGCCTTTTAATTGCAGGGCATTGGATTTGGCCATCAAACACAAGACTCACATCGACACAGTGTTATACTTTAGACAGAAATATTTGAAAGCCCTGCAGAAATCGGAGAATAACAACAAATACAGCACATTACAGGAATCGGTAATTTTTCGGACGATATGCACCTTATAACGCCAACAGTAGTCAAATAAAATCGATATGTTTCAGATTACCATCGACCCTGAGAAAATAGAAGAGAAAATAGCAACTGAACTCCAAAATAGAAAAAACACATATTAAATGACATTATTTTGTTGTTGTACATGATAAATTATTCCTGTGTTTAATCACTTGTTTGTTATTACATTTTTTACCTGGTTACATTTAACTAAACCTTAGAACCACTCCTTTAAAAAAAGGCAATTTTGGCAGATAAAAATACTGCATATATTTTTTTATTAAGTTGTCATTCTCAAACAATCTTGCTCAAGGACCACTTCAATGAGGAGCCCTTGAGAAGGTAGAATTAGACTTTGACGTGTGTCATTTTCTAACCAATAGAAATGCTTCATTTTGACGTCGAAGTTGTTGGAATTTGGACTGGTTTGTTAAATGGATTTAACGATTTAATCCCGTTCTAAGTATTTTATTTTTTTCACAGGATAAAGTTTTATTGAGTCAGAGGCAAAGTTCTATTTAGTGGAAAAATTCGACAGTGCTTTAGAGAATAAAAAGTGTATGCCACAAACTGGCAGACGAAAAATTAAATTTTGGTGCATTAAGTTGTACAAATAAAACATCCATTTACTTTTAAAAAATTCTTAATTTAAACACCAACAAGAGAATTTGTCCATTAAGCATTTAGTTTAATAAATTAAAAAACTCAAAGGAATGTAAAACAAGTGGTCTACTGACGTTCACTTCCACGTTTTTTTGCCAAAGTCAAGTAATGCAGATATTGGCCCTTCCTTAATGGATCCAATTTTATAAGTTTATTGTAGAATTGCACTCTCAAATCAATGTACTCAGGATCATTTAAAACTAAACTGCCCATAAGCCAGCATTTAGCCAACAAAATCCCTAAAATTTTATCGTTGTAGTTATTGAGAAGTAGTACGAATACCGACATACATTTACAATCAGGTTCGAGCTCCTCCAGCTGCTCTAGACCTTCCAGTAGTTGTTCCCGTTTCTCCTTAGTTACTATGGGATTACTCAACACCCAGCGCAAATAAAACCAGGAACTACTGTCACCTGGATCTGTAAATACGGCATTTTGAACTAAATAAAATTCATCATTGATGCAAGTCTCATCCAGCTTTCTTAATGTACTTCGATAATGCCAGGATGAATAATTAGAAAAATTAGCATTTAAGCGCTCTGTCGAGAATTTTAATTCAGCAGTTAACGTTACGCCAATTTTATTTAGTATCAGCCTTCTATAGTCCCAACAGTGAACTAAAATGTCGGTGGTTGGTTTCAGATATGCTTTTTAAATATGTCAAACAATACGTACAATTTCTATCATCATAATTTAAATATTTAGTACACAAATTAAATTCTTTATCCCAATCGGGTTTTGGGTGCTTCATTAAGACCCAGTATCTGTGATGCCAGGAGCCATAAGATTTGGGATTCGACAAAAGGCACTGTTCAGTCAAAGAAATTTCATTTTCCAAGAATTTCATCAAATCTTCCTCCTCAATATCCTTTTCCCTGAAACATTTTCGCTTAATCAACTCCTGCAAAATATATGTGAAATTTTCTATACCTATTTTTTATTTCTAATAAAATGACTTCTTTTCTATAATTCCATAGGGTGTATATATCGGGATTGACACATAACAGTTGTGAAGAGATTGCAAATGACTCTGGATCAAAATTATCACTCTTACGAGAACATAAAATTTTTTGCATTCCCATTCTATATGCAACCAACTTTCTCTGCTGTTCCTTCTTTTTAATAGCTTTTTGCTCCTCTGTGGTACGAACCTTTAACCTACCGTGCTAAAATTCACAGTTGGACATTAAACCCACAAAATAGTAAAATTAAATGTCCTAATAATTTATTACCATTTTCTTCAATAACAATTCTTTCTCAAATTATCAAGGAAAAAAAGCAATTTCCTGATATCAACAAATTACAAAAAATTGCTCATCATCGAAAAAACATCAATATGAACAAAATAAAAAATTACGTACATAACCTCCAAAGCAAACTGTCTTCTTTTTTAATAGCGTTATCATTGAACAAATATTTCTTTCTTCATCAACCACGACAACGAAAAAGATCTTTCTTCAAATTAATAACAATAAACAAACTCGAAACCAAAACGCCTGTTAAAAAATGAAATGGTTTTTCTTCTCTGTTTTTTTACATGGTTGGGCGAATGATCCTTATAAATTTGCGCTTCGCATAGCGATGATGGACCTTTTTGATATTCTATGATTCATTTTGCCATATTTTGCACAATTTTTTTAAACGCAGAGGTTAACATTTAACATCATTGAGCAAGAACCGCTATGGTTTTATTAAAAACACGTAAGGTTGTCTATTTTTTTTTAAATAATTTAATTTAATTTTAGTAAACTCATATTCTCAAACTATTCAGTGCAATTGTATCGTAAAACAATTGTTATTTTGGAAAAAAATACCTCTAAACGGAATATGCGTCACAGTTAATTAAATAATGTGTATTATTGATATTTAAGTTCAGATATAAAATCCAACAGATTTTTTTTAATCCACAATCCATAAAAGATTTACTGCAAGTTTCAGCATGTTGGTAAGTACTATACTATAAAGATTGACACCGTTTAGAATTTCTTTATCTTTAAAAATAATTTTTTACTGTAATGCGCCAAGCATCTTTAACCACACGCTAATTATGCCCTGACTGCTTATGTTGTAAATTTGTCCTTAATAATAGTCTATTAAACATTTAGGTATTATGAACTCAGTATTTTTAATTGATCGGTATAATTCTTATTTAATTTGATGTTTTGGGTTTTATGAAAAGTCTGTAACCTTAAATGGGTAATTTGTTTTCAGAAACCGATGAAGTGACCCGGAAAGGATGGTGAATGTGACATGAGCCCACCTGGGGAACCATTCCGCCACACGGGGGCGCAAGGAAAGTCCATTATCCAAGATAAAATTGCTACTGTGTTTTACAGCATTGGCTTGTTGTGCAGCAGTTACCCAATTTCTGTCTTAATCGGGGCCCTTTTTGTTATAATAAGTTGCAGGTAAGTAGGCAGCCAACAAGATTGTTTTTGTGCATTAAAATAATTGTTCCATTATCTGATTGAAATTATTATACTTGCTGATGCAGAAAACAACAAAATTGATTGTGTTCCTCTTATTAAATATACATAAAATTGTCATGTAATTACTCAAGGTTGCTTTTGAAAGTAAAGATCAATAATAAATATAGAACAAGCTGCATTAAATGGATTATAATAATAAATTGCGCCTGTCATTTTTGTATTTCGCGCACGCATTAGCATCATCATAATTGTGCAGGGATAAGGGAATTTATTTTTTCAAATTTAACCTTGGTTTTTATTTTCTGCAATATAAGTGCCAATAATGATATTATTTGGAAATAGTATTGATTATAAATATTTATTACTTCCTATAAGAATAATATATTGCCAAAAAAAAATGAAATATATGAGTGGCATAGCAATTTATATATTGCATTATTAGAAATATAGGAAGACCTTCTCATTTGGTAAACACAAATCAATCAAATTTTTGCATTTTGACCACTTTGCAAATAAATTCCATAATTTCTAAAGCAAAGAAATAAATCTAAGTGCCTTGGAGTAAATACCCTCTATAGGACGTTTGTTTATGTTGAATAGGTTTCCAAGTCCTAGTTCCATTCTACACGTTTACCAGATCTATAATTATTAATTCTAGTTTTGAGAAAATTAAAATTGCCTTTGAAATTTATTTCCTTTTCAAATGAACAGCCCCTTCTAAAATGCAAAATGAGTATAAGCGACTCTTGACAACTCGTCTGCTTGAAAATTTAGCGCTGTAAATCGGGCAACGCCGCTACGTCATTTGATATATCGCAGTAGAGGCACTCTCAGCCGTTATTAGTAAAACGACATTTTGAATTTCGTATGGTTTGTTTTGCGGTAATTTGAGTGTATTTTCAATGTTATTATTCTGCAATACTTCTTATAACACGCTTATTGTGGTGCGCGAATGTCAGCTGTTCAAAAAACTAACCTATAATTTTGGCCATCTTGATTTATCTATGGTATATTGCACAAGCACATTTACTGTAGTTATATATTGGTTCCCGCCCAAGAATCGTAAACCTAATTAAATTTACCTTACCTATCCTCCTGGAAACAAGTTTAAAATGAAAAAACTAGTAAAATGACTTGTAATAAATCATTGTTACTTGCCTTCAAACCTACAGCAAATAGACTATTTGAATACCAACAAAGTTGTGGTTCAGTAAAAGAAAACGGGCTTTAAATAGAAAAAGAATATATTTGTTCAGCAATTTGATAATTGATCATATGTATTTACTTTCAGCTCACCTCTCATTAATATCCCACTACCATTCCGATCGCCTCAGCAAGAATGGACGTCCAGTGCCAACTTAACCAAAACGCCTTCTCAGCCTTTCTGTTTCGTTCAGCAGGTAGTACTAAAAGTAGCAGTAGTGCCATGGGAGGCGGGCCTAAGTCGAGGTGATGCATTCCGTGCGCCTCTGTACGAGGCCTTCAAGTTACTCGAAATTGTTAGGAATTTCGAGGACACGCAGAGGTATTGCCGCTCTTTAAAGTGAATCTTTGGTTATTCGCGTGATTTCCAGCGGAAAAACGTTGGGACACGTCTGCTTGCACGTGGAAGCCGTTACAAAGTACAAAGATGCGCCGAACTTTATGCCGCAGTACAATTGTCTCGTCTTGTCTCCTGCCAATTTCTGGCACCAAGACATTCAAGAGTTCCATGAAGACAATTCCATACTCACCACAATTTTTAGCCAACACGTAGGTTGCATTAATAAGGGTCGCTTTAGTAGCAGGTACTTTCGTCACTGCTCCACCATTTTTTTTTTCTTACCATCGCCCTCCTTGCCATTGAGACATTGATTAATTTTTTTGCGCGTAGTGCTCATTAAATTATGAGATACGCGCACCTATCTCAAATCCTGTGCAAAATGTCGAGAAAAGTTGGTGACAAAAGTTGCTTGGATTCACTTATGCTTTTAAAACAGTATATTTCAATATGTGTTTGTACTTCCCTGGACAACTTTATTATTTTAATGAAAACACTGCATATTAAGGCATTTTTAAGTCTATCGATTTCGATTTTTAATTTATTTATGGTATTGGGTCTGTGTGATATTTTGGTAAATGAGATTTTTTATAAAATACAGAAATATTTTTATTTTTCTCTTAACATGGTTTCCCGTAAGTTTTTCTTCTGAATATTTTTCAGCACATGTCAAAATTTTTTCGCCAGATAAGTTTTGTGTTTCTTTATTTGTCACAATGCAAAAAAGTTTTATTACTCTTATATTAAAATCTACAAATTTACAAAAATATGCAATGTCGCCATTTTGGATACTAAATATAACTTGGAAAACGTTTTTTTTATTATTATTTTTTTAATTTATAATATTTTTGAAGTGTTTTTTTTTGTACATGTAAAATAATTAAATATAAATTAAATGCAAGCGCACACAGGCAACTAACCAACAATAGGGAGATCCATAAAATTTGGTGTAATTATTTCATTTTTTATCGAAAACAAAACTGCTGTCAAGGTATTCCTGAACCGAACGAAAACAATGAGCAAGCAGATATTCATTGCTCCGTTAATTTTTTTATTATAGATAATTTTAACAATTGCGGCAATCTATTAGACGAAGTGTTATTCAAAGAATTAGAAACAGACTTATGCAGCGGAATGGTGTTTTTAACGTTAATTGTAAAATTGTGAGTGATTTTTACTTTTGGTTGGTTAGTTTAGAGAGTAATTACGCTGTTTCCTAACCGCTAACCTCGAGTTAGTCGGTATTTTCAAAGTTTGGGTTTTATTTTTGTTCAAAAGAAAATTATCGGCACTAAATCATCATAAAGCAGCATTTGAAGTACTCCATAGCGTTTGAAAATTCATTACTAACTAATATCCAAAAAATGCCTTATATAGTTCGTTATATTTAAAATAAGAAAGTTGTTAGTTGTACATAAAATAATATTTTAAAATAGTTGCAAATTTTGGTCAAGTAACGGATAAAAATAATTGGCGTCTAAGAGTTTTACACTTTTTTAACTTGCCGCTTCACGTGGCGACCATTCGAGTAACCGAGGATTACTTTACGAGTTCGCTTTCAGAAATTCCAAAAGGGTAAAGTTTCATTGGCCGAAATGCTGTTCGGGATGCGGCTGCGGCAAACTGGTATCAAACGCTACCCCCTACGGAATCGGCAGCGTATCATTCAATACGCCGTGACCTTATTTTTTAAGCACTTCGACAAAGAGTAATGCCGGAAGCAACGTACGGATAAAACGACCACTGATAGCCGATTTGCAGGTTCATCGAAGGTCTTAAGGAGAAACTCGCCACTCACTACCCGCTGCATCAGAACCGGTCGGTCCCGCTGCCCGACGACACCCTGGTAATCCAGTTTCCTGAAGAAGTAGACTACTTGGAAGTGTCCCCGTTGGTTATAGCGTTCGTTTTGTTGTTTCTTTACTACTACTTCTACGTTCGTAAAGTGGAAGAAATCAAAAGCAAGCCGGGTATGGCCTTCGCCGCGACCGTCACGGTAATTTGCAGCTTGTCCATGACGATGGGGATCGGGTTCTTTTTCGGCCTGGGCGTTAACAATCAACGGGGCAAATGGATTTTTCCTTATCTCGCTATTCTGGTCGGACTGGAGAACGTGTTGGTGCTGACGAAAAGCGTGCTCAATACCCCGTTCAATTTGGACGCGAAGATTCGTATCGCCCAAGGCCTGAGCAAGGAGGGATGGTCGACAACGAAAAATTTGTTACTAGAAATTACCGTGTTCACTTTCGGTTTGTTCACGTTCGTCCCCGCCATACAGGAGTTCTGCCTTTTCGCCATACTTTGCCTGATTTCCGGCTTATTCCTGCAAATATTCTTCTTCCTCCCGATTATATCGATCGACATTACGAGGGCTAGTAACGCGATGGAGAAAACCGGTCAGAATTTCCGGAGCGCCCTGTACGAGCCATGGTTTTTGGACAGGAGCGGGTTCCAGAACAGGGGCATGAACCGGTCAAAATCGCACCCGAGTTTCCCGACCAACGTGGTGGCGGGCCAGAAGCACGGCAATCAAGACAAAAAGCTGCCGAAGAGGCTGCGCCTCGTGAATATTTGGGCCCGAACTCGGTTCTTCCAGAGGTCTCTGATGGTCCTCATGGTTATGTGGATCAGCGTGATCGCCTACAACAGCGACTTGATCAATAATTACATGCTCACCGCGGTCGACGATAAACAATCGTCCGATAAGGCACCCAATTATTCCAGCATCGATATAAACCTGAAGCCGCCCGTGACACTCAATTACGTCACGTACAGTCCGTGGGAAAAAGATGGCCCGACGAACAATAGAAGTTACGATATGGACAAACTAAGGCCGTCGGAATATGATCCGTGGTTTAAACTGGTGCCCGGTCACTGGTCGTCCATACTTAAAAATTACAACATATCCGTCAGCGGTCGTAGCGTGGCCATTTTGCCGAACATCAAGCTGTCCCACGCGGTCAGCCCGGAACAGGCGGTCCTTTTACGGAACCCGGAAGAAAAATATGGCGATAAGTTTGAGTGGCGGGCGCTCGCGATCGCCCTAGACCCCATCGACTTCAACGGAGGTATGGTCTGGTCATAGATATAAGAAAGTGACTAATTACGTTCGAATGGGATTATCCAAGGGTGGTCATTAACATACAATGCAACAAATTATTACACCTACCTGTGTTTAATATTCTTTGGTATATTTAATCCCATTGAACATGGCAACAACTGAAATCTGCCAATGTCCTCGAACTGATAGAAACCGAAGTTTTTAACATCCCTCCACAAAGTTGGGCAAATTCTGTCCAACATATAGAAAAAGCAGAACAATCGTTTATCCATATTGCAAATAATATAGAACAAATAATAATTAGAACAGACGATGATAGCGATAGTGATACTGATATATTATGTGAATATTTTTTAAGTAATTTTTTAATAAATAAATAAATATTGTTTACTATCTTTCCTAACAAAACCCCAAATAATTAAATTCTAAGCAAAGTACGGACCTGTTCGGCGATATTTCATTCTTACAGTTTGCCCGGGTCTTCCCTTAATTCGTATCAGTTAGTCACTTTTTTATATCTATGAACAGACTTTACTGTGTCGTCCTTGCGCATTGATTTAAATAAAATCCTCTTCGTGTCTTAGATGATTCCATGACAAACTCCGCCCACTCGTCCGAGCAACCTATATATCCCCAGTCGCCGATGGAGATATTTTTCTTGATTATATTAATCTTAATCAGCGTCATCGTTCTGGCTTACGCTTTCATTCTGCTCTACAAGTGCGTGTGCTCTCGCAATTACGCGGAGTGGAGGGCCTCGTGGTTTCCGGAGAATAGCGAAGAACCGGTCGACGAACAGGTGCTTCTGGAGGCTGTTCCTGTGGTCGTCGAAGGTACCAAACTTTAAAAATCACACCTCAAAAAAGGGTTTAAATTGTTTAACTTCCACGGTTTTAATATTGTTTGCAAGAGTGTTAAAAAAATTTATTGACCAATATTATTTTGACACTTCTACGGTACGGTGAGTAGGTATAAACTTATGTTTATTAGACGAACCTCATGAGGTTTTCCAAAATATATTAAGAAGGAAATATTGAATTGCTTGAAAGATACTCCACTCTGGAGTTTAAAGGCCCTTTCACCGTAAAGTTCTTGTAGCAAAAGTAGCACACTATTTAGTTTCTTACACAAATAATCCGTACGAATATCGTACCGGAATAAATTATCAATTTTTCAATCTTTTATTATTAATGGCGCTAACTAATCCAAAAAAATTGACTATATAATCGACTTTGCTAAACAAACATCGCTTTGAATGGTTATAACTACTAGAATCATATTTAAGTATATTTTCAAACTAAATATTTAATAAATTTAATTAATATTTAAATATATGGACGCACTAGGTTATTCTTCATTAAGGGCTGCGAAAAACGGATGCTATAACAAAGCTTTAACGAGACACGAAAAGTGCTGCTTTAAAATCTAAGTACTCCTGAACAAATAAGAACAGCAGTGAAAATGGACTATTTTTGTCATCAATAAAAATTAGAAAAGGGAGCGGCCCCGGAACGCTGCCCTGAGGCACACCCCTTTCAACTACTCTGAGTAGAGAATTCGTGTCGTGCCTCTCTTACAGTCACTGACTCCAAGTATGAGGGGGTTTACCATTTCATGAAAAATGAGTTGACCTGGATTGCTTTAGAGGAGTGAAACGTTTTATATTTTTGTATATTATATGTCGTATATTATAAAAAACCATAGCAAAGGCGGTGACGTTAAGAGTAAGAGTATGAATTTATAGAGTAGTTGTAATTCTTTCGCTCTTGTATGGTATGGTACCATTCTTTTATTCTATTATGAAGAGTAACGACAGAAAATTACTAAATTAACACGATAACGGAAATCAAAACTGTTGAAACAGGTCATCAGCAAGATGTGGAATGCATCGCTACGGACGGATTGAATTTGGCGAGCGCCTGTCTAGGCGGCCATCTTAAAGTGTGGGACAGCGTAACGGCAGAATTAATATGCCATATCGACCGTTTGTCTTACTTTCTGGAAAACAGCCCCACGGAAGAAAGCATAAGGGACGACGACGACGCGTCGTCGGACTACGAGTCCGGATCGCCACCCACGCGTGGCGAAGCTTTTCCACGACTGATGAACAGGATCAACACGGACTTTTCCGGCGTTAAACCGAACAGTAACTCAAACGAACCGTTTAACGCGAGACAGGAGTTTTACAAAACTTTCAAGTACCATTACTCGACTCACGGCGAAAGCGCGAAACTGAAGATGGAGGCGAGGGCTTCGAGCGGCGCTAACGAGGAAAACCCCAACAAGTTTCCATCCATTTGGTGCATAGATTATTTGGACAACCTGCTAGTGGTGGGCTGCGCGGACGGGAGGCTGGAGTTTTGGGATGTGCTAACAAACCAATTGAAGGTAAGAAGTGGACTTGTTCTTCTGAATAATTGGACCGAAGTCAATCTAAACCACTGACGGAAAAAGTATCCATTTTTCCCTATACTTATTATTATTATTAATTATTACATAATTAATTTTTCAAAGAAACTTCCACAGGCTACTGTAATACTTTTTACAAAACTTCTGGATTCCTCCTGCCTCGATTTTTGCTGAGTCAAACTTGCTGATGTTTCGCCAATCATCCTGTTGGCTTCTTCAGCAACAACAACAAACTCAGCAGCAACCGACGTAGGAGGAATACATTAGTTTTGTAATAATTACTTATTACATATATATATATATATATATATATATATATATATATATATATATATATATATATATATATATATATATATATTCTCACGTATTGATTCACGGATGGAAAAATGTGATGACACTATATTCCGGGATATCATCCGTTCGCTCGTTGAACTCCGACTGGAATCCTGCATCCGACTGGAATCCTGCAAATCTTGCATCCGACTGGAATCCTGCAGACGTTTCGCCAAAATCTCACTTGGCATCTTCAATGCTCGCGCTCCGAAAACACTTCGAACACTGGGAGGTTATCGGCGGTGCGTGAGGTATTTATACTCTGCGCCGGAGATGGTAACGGTGCTGCTTGTGCGTGGGGGGAGGTGGCTCCGCCCCCTGAATTGTCGCGTTGTTAATTTCGCCCGATCGTAGTTGCGATGTCCCCGTTGGCTGCTGCGCATCGCTCTGCTGTTTGATTATCGTTCTCCACGTGTTGGATAAATGCAGAGCGTCGTCTCTCGTATTGAGGTGTCCGGACTTTTCTATTTCGATGGCCTCTCGTATAATCCTAGTCCTAAAATCAGGAATATTAGCTATTTGTTTGCAAGTGCCGAAATCAATTTTATGGCCTGTCTGATGTTGGTGCTGAAACAAAGCAGATGTTGTTTGTTTGTTTCTTATGGCTAAACGATGTTCCTCGAGCCTGGCTGAAATCCTTCTGTTGGTCTGTCCCACATACGTCAGGCTGCACGATCCGCATGCTACACTGTATACTCCTTGGTTTTCCAGAGTAATTTTTTGTTTTGGGTTTCTTAGAAAAATTACTCTGGAAAACCAAGGAGTATACAGTGTAGCATGCGGATCGTGCAGCCTGACGTATGTGGGACAGACCAACAGAAGGATTTCAGCCAGGCTCGAGGAACATCGTTTAGCCATAAGAAACAAACAAACAACATCTGCTTTGTTTCAGCACCAACATCAGACAGGCCATAAAATTGATTTCGGCACTTGCAAACAAATAGCTAATATTCCTGATTTTAGGACTAGGATTATACGAGAGGCCATCGAAATAGAAAAGTCCGGACACCTCAATACGAGAGACGACGCTCTGCATTTATCCAACACGTGGAGAACGATAATCAAACAGCAGAGCGATGCGCAGCAGCCAACGGGGACATCGCAACTACGATCGGGCGAAATTAACAACGCGACAATTCAGGGGGCGGAGCCACCTCCCCCCACGCACAAGCAGCACCGTTACCATCTCCGGCGCAGAGTATAAATACCTCACGCACCGCCGATAACCTCCCAGTGTTCGAAGTGTTTTCGGAGCGCGAGCATTGAAGATGCCAAGTGAGATTTTGGCGAAACGTCTGCAGGATTCCAGTCGGATGCAAGATTTGCAGGATTCCAGTCGGATGCAGGATTCCAGTCGGAGTTCAACGAGCGAACGGATGATATCCCGGAATATAGTGTCATCATATATATATATATATATATATATATATATATATATATATATATATATATATATATATATATATATATATATATATATATATATATATATATATATATATATATATATATATATATATATTTATATATTCTCACGTATTGATTCACGGATGGAAAAATGTGATGACACTATATTCCGGGATATCATCCGTTCGCTCGTTGAACTCCGACTGGAATCCTGCAGACGTTTCGCCAAAATCTCACTTGGCATCTTCAATGCTCGCGCTCCGAAAACACTTCGAACACTTCGGAGCGCGAGCATTGAAGATGCCAAGTGAGATTTTGGCGAAACGTCTGCAGGATTCCAGTCGGAGTTCAACAAGCGAAGAAAATACAAACAAATACAATACAGAAACAATAACTTTTTATTATTATTAAGTCTAATAGAACTATTTACAAATCGCACGGATTCTTTCTGCGTCGGTTGTTTATAAATCAACCTTACTTTTAGTTCTATTAGACTTATGAATAATGAAAGCAAATTTAAATACTCATTGGTTTTGTATTGTATTTGTTTGGATTTTTGTACGAAATATATGTTGTATTATTGTTTTGGGTGTCAATTTCGTGTAGGAATATGGAAAACGCTACGTCGATGATACTTTTGTTATTTGGCCTCATGGTCAGGGATCCCTAGTAGATGTTCTTAGACATTTAAACTCTATATATCCGGCCCAAACATCATCGGTTATCAGCTTTCTTGTTTACAGAGTCGTAAAACTATCTCAGCGCACATTAAAGATATTAAGCGTTCAATTACAAAATACACTTCACCCCAACTTTCCATCCCACACTTGCCAGTATTGTCATTCGTTACATTCAAAACATCACTGACCACATATCAAATGTTCTTAAGAAATATAACGTGAAAATCAGATAAACCAATTGTCCAAAAATGCGGCAAAGAATACGTTGGAGAGACCGGGCGTAAAATATCAACTAAAATCAAAGAACATGAAATAGCCTGCTACTCAGGTCTCTAACTATCACCAGTGTGGAATTATGTCATCAATAAAAATTAGACAAACTAGCGGCCGCAGGGCTGTGGTGCAACGTCGCCTCTTTCTTTGAGTCACTTTCTCCAAGTATGAGGCGTCTGCCACTTCATGGAAAAGAAGCTTTCGTTCACGAAACCTTTATTAATAAGGGAAATACGTCCTAGTAAATATAGGACATTGACTGTCCATTTCTTCGTTTCACAAAGAGAAACAATGGCGTCGCACATTTGAAATTTCTTATTCGCAGTGCCTATTCGAGGACGGGACTCAATCGGGAATAACGCACGTCAAAATAGTGGGAACGAAATTGATCGCGGCGCATTTGTGCGGAACCCTGGATTTGTTCCAACTTCAGACTTACACGCAAGGCCGACCGGTGGATTGGAGCTTCAGCTGCGCTTACAGAAGGACGCACGTGAGGACCGGCTCCATGGGATCGATGCCCGAGAGAGACGTTCAAGTAATCCAACCGAATAACGAAGTTTTAAAAGGAATCCAACCCCTTCGCTTGCAGCTTACCTCCGAAGATCTGAGGTGCAACAAAATAGCGAGCGTGAGGGCTCACCAACAATCCATTACGTGTCTCGACTGTGAGGGCGGCAGAATCTTAACCGGAAGCCAAGATCATACGTTGAAGGTGCACAGACTAGAGAACGCCGACATACTCTATACCCTCCACGGGCACTGCGGGCCCATTACATGTCTGTTTATAGACAGGGTATGCACGGCAACATCGGGAAGTGGCTCCCAAGATGGTATGTTGTGCGTATGGGACTTGCTATCAGGTAAATCTTTAAACTTTATAACGTGCGTGAACGGTGTGAAAGCATAACTTAAGGATGATGAGAAAACTGGATTATTGACTGTCCAAAAATTTAAATTGCTATTGCTAAAAAGGAAGAGTAGACCAAACCCTAAATAAATAAAATTAAATGATTTGTAATTAAATATCAAGTATGGTAATTGCAAAAAATCTTCAATTATTTCGAGAAAACTACAGTCTATATGACACTATGCATCTTAATACTAGAAGCAGAAAATTTCTGTAGTCCAGCTTATAGCTTCATTTTTATTTAAAGCCTGCTAATGTTCAAATTTAAATGAATGTGATAAGGCTTGATAAAAATGGTGATACACTTTTGTTTATTTATAATATATATCAATCCCATTAAAACATAAAAAGTATTAAACATAAATATCAGATAAAAATCTGAAAGCAACCGTTAAAAAAACAACTTTAATCAACAACTAATCTGTCTTTAAACTATAACAGGGATACACCCAAGTTTTCCATTTAACTATTATTTAAAATTCTCCCCTCTAATCAGGCAATATAGAAGGAGACCAGTAATCTGCACTCAACATATAGACAGTTGACATATATATTTTTACTTCCCCACTCTCTGCAGTTGTACAGCACAAATCCCATCACTTTAGACCATTTATAACAACGGCTTTGGTAAAAATGTATTTTAAAAGTCAGTTGCTCCTCGAACCAGATACCAAGACCTTTAACGAGTTCAAACTATTGCGGTATGCTACTTTTAGGTTACAACATTAATACACCCTTTTGCTTTTCTTCTAAAATTATATTTATTTACATTCGAAAATAGATTATGATTCAGTCTATTGTAGTTTTCCCGCCTTAAATTTTATTCACTCATATCTAAAAAAACCTGCCAGCAAACAATAAAAATTTTGTGTTTCTAAAGCAATCGGCAATATCGTCAATAAAAATATTATAATGATATAATTTGATGTGTTGAGTGCTACCCAACCCCCACCATAGCATCAGAAAATCCCATGTAGTTATCAGGTAATACTGTGGCCCTACTTGGGTAAAAAATTCTTTCTAAACAGGTAAAAAATTCTTTCTAAACAGCGGTATCCACACACTTAACTCTTTTTTATCGGAAGGATTAATGGGATTTTGAGATATTTTCAGACAACACTGCTCTTAAAACGCCCCATCCAAAATTATTGAAGATCTGTCAGCGGCCATGAATCTCGCGCAGGCGCGTATTAATTGAAACTTTTCAAAAAAAATTCATAGTTGCTTCATAAGTTAAAGTGTTATCAGCGTTAGGCAGGGCCTCTGCATCTCTAGCTAGTAGCTTTATACAGAAAAATCAAAAAAGATCGTAACTTTTCCATCTTAATCAAATTCTTTGGCAAAGTCTGCGTAGTCCGCTGTTCGAATGTTTTCTGTGTGATTGTGTGTCGTCTTTTTAGACAATACAGGAAAATAATTTTTTAAATATATTTTTTAAATTTCACCCTTCTCTTAGGGGCGTGCATGTACAGTCTCCAAGCGCACGACGGTTGCATAATCTCCCTAACCTACTCTGCCAGTTACGTAATCTCATTAGGAATAGACGAGCGTCTTTGCGTGTGGGAACGGTTTCAGGGGCACTTGCTGAACACGATCTTGGTCGGGCAAGTGTTCACGAGCGACATCGTAATGCTGGCTTCGCACTTGGTGGTGACCGCCAAAAATGGCGGGTTAATAATATGGGACGTTCGCAGCGGCGAATGCGTCAGGACGATCGCCCTCGGCAGGGACCCTTTTGTGTTCATTAACCGTCTGACGTTGTTGCACGACGCCGTGCTGTGCGATTACGGCAAACAATTGAGGATCGTTCGTTTTCCGTTAATTTCCCATAAGTTCGATTAATATCGCACGCTTCGGATCGCAATTTTATTATTATGCCTTTTGAGTAAGATGACGAACTACTTCAGATGGAAAATTGATTAACATTTTTTTTATAATGAAAATTTTAAGCAATTTTAATTAAAAAATGGATTAAAAAGAGATAAATTTATTAAATTTTGATATTAAAAAATTGATAGTATTCTTTATAACATTGTTAAAAAAAATAAAATTTTATTAATAATAATTATAATTAAATAACATAAATAAAATAATGACGAGGTTTGAAATTCTCTTCCGTAATCTTAAACTTAAATGTGACGATAAAAAAAACATGATTTTTTTTTACCAAGAAATCAGTTAAAATTTCATTTGTTAACTTAAAAGTTAGTTAATAATACGAAAATAAACAAATAATTAAAATTTCATAAATTTATCTCTTATGGTTGATTTTTAAGCCATTTTTTAATTAAGAGTGCTTAAAATTTTCATTATAAAAAAATGTTGTTAAAGTCGCAGTTTTAAAAAAAATCGTGGTCAATTTTTTATCATAAGCACTTATAAAAAAAATATATATAGATTAAATTTTTATGATCAAGTGTTAAATGGGGTGTCCACTTGACGTGATCTTACTCTTTTGTAATTCACCTACCACCTAAAATAAATGAGACGGACGTACGACGGAAGGCGCCACAACTTAAGGCCTTTTTAGTAGGAAACATGATATATATTATATAGCCATAAAATGAATACGCCTATAAGGCTGGCAGAGGAGACAAAACACTCAGGAAGAGAGAAAGGAATAGGAGTTGGGATAATGTAAACCTACAATAAGTTACATACTTTACACTGTTGTCAGAAAAATGAAAGAGTCCCATTTGATGTAAATTCTAGATAAGTCAAGGCAATATATTAAAGCAACGCAGGCTTATTGGAGCAACCGTCTAAATCAGAAATAATATTGGGGGCAGCTAGAAAAATTTCAGTTGATTGGCACCGACCAACAACTTTTTATGTTATTTTTGCAACTATTGGCAACGTCGCCGTCGGTTGGAAGTCATAGGCTGTGATCATTTTGGTTTTGTCTTCTGCTTGGGTTTCCTTTCACCATTTGCAATTGGTTGCTAGTTAGTTGGTTGTGTAACCATAAATTCGATAAAAAAAAAATTATTATGATGCTCGATGATGCTAATTTCGATGTTCTGTCTCTTTTCATGAATGAATCAGCCTCTTACCAGCCTTCTAGGATTATTAATTACGTATATAGCTCTAACAAATTTTTAAATAAACCTATAATTTGCATAAAATATTTTGCCCTCAACTATTATACAAAGAATAACTTTTGTTCAAGGATGTAGAATTACATGTTATAAACAAGTTTTTTTCAAGTTCATAAGAATATATCTATAATATGTGCGTTTTTTTAAGAACGAGTACATCCAACGAAAAATACAGAGCGATTAAAAAGTCAACCTAATCCTGGAATAAAAATTGAACTGAAATTTCCTATTAACATGTGTCCGGATAATTTCTGGAAGGTATTTCGTAGACTGTATTTGGGAGATGCTGAATTTTCATAACAACACGTTGTTTTCGTTTTAAGTAATAACTAAATAATTTTCGTACACAGTTAACTATGGACGGTAAAACGGTATAAGTTTTATCTCATGTATGTGCCCATTATGCCCAAAATTTGTCAAATTACTTTTACCTTTTCTTTTATTTCCCCATTATCTTCAATTCTTTAACTTAATATCCTTAAAATGTTACATCTCTTCTATTTGAATCGTTTATCTCCTTGCTAAATATATTGCTATAGTCAGGAACCCATTCTCGATAAGCACAGATTTCACTATCAACAAACCAAGCAAAATGAGGTTAAAAACGTCTCGAGCGCCACCTTGCCGCAGGTGCCCTAACAAAATTCAGTATGATTATCTGGTTGCCTAAAAACGAATGCATATAGCCAAACTTTTAAGTTTCTGGTATATTTTAGGTGGTAGGTGTTGTGATTGACATTGACTGTTTCTCGACATATAACTTTGTTTAAATCGTGCCTTGTTATTCGCGTAACCATTGTTTAATGCATGTTTTACTTTTCGTTTATTTCAAATTACACTTGAATTTAGTAAATCGTTTTAATTTATTTCGCCTTTGAAGAAAATTTAAATAGAATACGTAAGTTATATTTTCATTGTCAAATTTCAACAAATAAATGTATATTTATATATATATTTTAATCATTGATTTTCGCGAATTCCGAGAAAAAAATTTGTCTTCTGGGTGCTACTCACCGACATTTAGTTTAAAAAATTAACGAACAAAGTGTAGTATTTAAATAATGTTCACTTTATAGAAGAAAGACGGGAAAACTAAACAAAAATAGAAGAATCTTCGGTTTAAATTTTGGACTTTGGCGACCGAAGCTTTTTTGAGAGCTGAAGGTCGAAATCGAACACGGCCAATAAAATCCGCCAATATGCTCAGATTTGTCCGGAGTACAACCCCGTTAATATACCCAGATTTGATTTAATTAAATACATTGTTTGCGCACGGAATTAACTACTCATATCAAAAGGATTGGGATTAATATGCCATCGACCGTTTACATATACAGGATGATTATGCGTCACACTATCTCACCCCGCCTCTTTCCGAAATTAATCGGACCTGCCGCTAAGTAAACGAAAAGTAATTTAATTAATATGTACGGATATTTTATGTTGTACAATGGATCGCATAAATCTAAAAGTTTCCAGATAAAGAAATCGAAATAATAGGACACTATTTAGTTTGTAAAAACTATTAATTATTCATCGTCCTGTAAACGAAAAGTAACGGAAACACCCACACGAGAGACAAATCAGCAACTTAGCCAAAAAAAAAACTCTGTATGGATTAAAAAGCAAGGCTGCGATAGATTACCCGGGGTTTAAATGAATATATCTGCATTATCGCCGTGATATATCTGCAAGTTAGGAATTATTAGCAAGAATAAAAGCTATTGACTCGCCCTCGGTCCGATCTCAGTTGAATACATGCCGCCGTTGTAGACGAGTTTCAAAATATGTATTCACAAGTAAGTTGCAAAATATGATTTTTTTTTTTAACGCTAGCCAGCCCTTGGATGTGTTTTATTCGCTTTATAGATTTACTGGGTTTCCATTTTAACAATTCTCTTCGACTCGATCAGTTGCAATCCGGCTGAAACGCAACGACTGGAACGATATCTGAACGACGACTACATCGAAGATATCGTAGTGGACGTTCCTTCGGACGAGGCCAATTACGAATTTGCAAATTCAAACTACGTGGATTCCGGTGAAAATAACACTTTATCTAGCTCGGTAAAAGATTATTTTGAAAACGTTTATTCGGATTTTCCCTACAAAAGGGATAACAACCGCCAAAAGGTAAAAACCCAGTTTTAAGGGCCACTTAGAAATGAATCAGTTTTGATTCATTTTAGAAAAGTCAAGTGTTATGCAGGGTTGAAAAGAGCATTCACCATCATACGGAGATGGGTTACGACTTCTTTCCGAAATCTTACGTTAGTTACTCTTGCCGTCCAGCTGATTCTATTCATTTTGCAGATGGATCTTCGAGCCACCAAGTAAGTAGCAGTTGCACAAAAAGGACAAAAATTTTTTTATTGAAGAACAATTTTCTATTTAAAAATTTTCCCTAACCGAAAGTAACATTGATTCAAGGTAGAGAAGAAAATTATACTGTTTATAATAACTCGTTGAATAATATAAACCTACAAACAAAATAGCTGAACATTGAAACTTAATTTTAGGATGTGTGTTTCGTAAATGGCACACGGTGCATAACTATAGAAAAAGAACATTGGTTCACAAAACATAAACATAATACTAATTGCTGGAAACCATTTCGAGAGGTGATAGCCGTGGGTTGCAAATGTTTACCGAGAAAACATCACTTTTAAATTTCCCTGTGTATTTTGCGCAATAAAAATCGTCCATAAAGGAAAAAGTTTTGTTTGTGAATCCGACATGCAATTATTTTTTTACAGGACGTTTGTCTAGTTAGATCCGATCGGTGTTCGAGTTTAAGGACGAAGCGTTTCTTTCTGAAAAGCAGAAAGCCTCATTTTTTCGAATGCTGGTCGCACATAGTGGAAAAAGAAATCGATGTAGGATGTGACTGCATAGATCACTATAAATACCAGATACATTGAGTTCTTGTTTATTAAAAACCTGATAGATCTCTTGTTTGTTTCTTATTTATTTCTACTTGCTATCATAAATTACAGAGAAGACAGTTAATTTTCAAGGAAAGAGACGAAATCTGTTAATTTATACAACTGATCTTCGCTGCTTGTTTGAACTACAGGTTCCGGAGTTTGCCTGACCGGATAAACTATGTTCGAATCGGGCTCGAAACGCCAACCCTTTTCTTTGCAAGCGTTCAGGCAAAGATCAAAGGACAATCCTGTCATTGCCGATACTGTCTCCAGTGTTATGGATGAATAGGCCTGAGAAATTAAATCCACCGCCCTGGATCTTACAACCGCTATAAAAATCGTTGAACGTTTTTGTTATAATTAAATTAAAATAACACCAACCTTGTACTTGGCTCATAATATCCGCAACTGTTTCCGGCCAATTGACGGCATTTAAAGCTTTATATGTGGCCGGAAAATCTTTCATCCACAAAGATTTACCCACTGACCATATGTGGCCCAATTCCGGATTGGAGGTTTTTATATTAGCGGGGATTCGTTTCCACAAAAACTTTGCGTTACACCTACAAGTTTATTAAATACAATCAACAAGCTTAAATGACGATTTCGTATACCTACAAATCGTTCTGGTATAAATAAATACTGAGTAACTGTGCGTACACTTGTGCCGTCGCTATCCCATTACTCGACTGCAACAATAAATAACGGGGTGCGGTTGCCAAATTATTCAAAAATTTACCTCTAATTCCTGCTTCTCTAGATCTTGGACGAGATTATTTATATCCAGTATCACCATGATTCAATTTATTTAGAAAAACTTAACCTTAAAGTTTGTTATTCCATTTAGAGATGTTTTTCAAATCAAAACGAACCTTTGTTTTTTGGCACAGATCAAAATAATCGCTTTTTCTTTTTTTAGACAAGTTAAGCATTTTGTTTGTCCGTTGCCATCGAGAACCTATTTTCCTTTGTTATTAACCAGTATTAAAATTTTACTCATCTGGTTTGACAAAAGAATCAAAATAAATTGAATACACAACAAAAACTGACAGATAGCAGTAATTTAGAACCTAAATAAAGGGGGTATACGTTTGATTCAAGCACATTAACGTATATGATTATAGCCCTGAAAAGAAGAAGTAAGTGCTGTTAACCTCGCTTTACTACTTGATTTATTTATAAACGAAATGTTTATAATAAATAAATTACGAAATAAATCTATTCGGGAAATTGGAACTTTTATTTTTATGAGGTTTTGCACGTCGCGGCAAGTGATTTTAGGAATCGAGACTTCGTGCGACGACACTGGATGTGCATTGGTCGATAGTACTGGTAATCTTCTAGGGGAAGCTTTGCATTCTCAACATTTAGTGCACCTCAAGTAGGCATATTATAAACAGCAGTCATTTTATTTAATCAATTTCACTCGTTTGCAGTAATGGTGGTATCATTCCACCAATTGCTTGGAATTTGCATAGAAAAAATATAGAGAAAACAGTAAATGTTGCTATGGAAAATGCAAATTTAACATTTGATAAAGTATCAGCAATCGCTGTAACGGTGAAGCCGGGTATTTTTCACTGCTATTATAAGCGGAATTTACATTTAATCGTTAGGTTTCAGGTTTGCCCATGTCTCTATCTGTGGGAACAAAATATGCAAAATACTTATGTAACAAATACAAAAAACCAATTATACCAGTACATCACATGAAAGCACATGCTCTAACCGCAAGAATGTTCGATAGGTCCCTGACATTTCCCTTTTTAGTACTGCTGATTAGTGGTGGTCATTGCCTCTTAGCAATCGCTCAGAGCATAGAAGACTTTCTCCTACTTGGCGAAAGTATCGACGATGCCCCTGGTGAAGCATTTGATAAGGTTCGTCCGATCCATATTTGTACCCCGGGAATGCTTTGGAAGTGTTTTTAGATGGCCCGTAGACTCAAACTCAAGAATTTGCCTCAATATTCGACATTATCAGGGGGGGCAGCTATCGAAATTGCCGCGTCTAGAGCCGACGATCCATTGCAGTATAATTTCAAGGAGCCCATGTCCCAGTACAAGGATTGTAATTTTAGCATGGCAGGAATTAAAACTCAGTTTGTAAGACATGTTGAAAAAGAAGAAGCTGACTTGGGTAGTAAAGTGTTCCTTTAGACTCTTAAAATGAAGTCAGTATTGACTGTGTTTTATAGAACTAGCTCCGGATAGTATCATTCCTGGCGCAAACAACCTTTGTGCTGCATTTCTGCTTGTAATGACAAGGCACTTATGCCACAGACTTCAAAGGGGCATAGAATACATTTCTCGCAAAGGGCTAATTCCTCCAGAAAACCAAACACTGGTAATGTAGGTTTGGTTTAACTTTGTCCAAATTTAATCATAAGACCGCACTTTAGAATGTGAAAAATAACTGATTAAATATTTTAGGTTGTATCTGGTGGCGCAGCTTGTAATAATTTCATTAATGAAGGATTACGCATTGTGTGTGAGGAGTTAGGATACAAGTTACTCAGGCCCCCTCCGAAATTGTGCACCGACAACGGGGTGATGATTGCCTGGAATGGAGTTGAGAGGTTAGATTAGAATTTCAAATCAACACTTGCTTGATTCGGCATTTTTCAGGTGGAATGCTAAAATTGGAGTACTAGATAAATATGATGATGTAGATGTTGAAAGAAGTTCCCCATTAGGACAGAGCCTTATAGACGATGTAAGAAATGCCAGTATAAGATGCAAGTGGATCAAACTTTCAAAATTGTCACTTCCAAAAAGTCAGTGGTGAAAAGACAAAAGGATTATAAACAATTTGTATATTGATAAATAGACTTCTAAATTAATGGTGGCCCTTGTTCTACCATTGAAGCCTTAATCCGCTCGTGCATCTCTCCCACTTTATCTTCTTCATTTTCAAAGTCTGCAGTAGTGTCTAGTAGATGTCTTAGCCTGATTTTAACCAAATTAATGTCTTCTCCACTCTCCTTGGCCGATATTGGTATTACATCACAAAACTTTGGAAAATTTGCGGGTCGTAGTTCTTCCTCATACGAAGCAACATACTCTATAAACAAAATATAGGTACATAATTACCAGCCGAGGTATAAATTCAGCACAAACCTGGGAAATTTTTTAAATGGGTTTTCACCTCTTGAAAAAGTTCAGTTGCCCCCTCAGTGTCCATTTTATTAACCAAGAGCAAGGAAGGTTTTGTTAGTAATGTTTCTTTATATAACTCCAACTCCTTCGGAAAAAAAAAAAGGAAAACCGATCTTTCTATCAAATTGAGGCAAATATATCTACGATTCTCAACAAAGTACTAATACTAATATTTCATTTGGTTTTGATGTAAAGTTCTGAAATAAATATATATAAAATTACCTTAATTAGTAACATAACTGTTTCCAGGCATGTTCTGTGGGGATGTTGTGGACTTAATTGAAATCCATTTATATCAACCAGCATAAGTAGCAGCTTTGTTCTTTCCACGTGCTTTAAAAATTGGTGCCCCATGCCTCTATTGGCGTGGGCCCCTTCTATAAGGCCCGGCAAATCTGCCATAGTTATTTGCCTCAAATCTATATACTGTATCACACCCAAACTGGGTCGGATTGTTGTGACTAGCAAGATATTGAATTGAACACTCATCAGTTGGAGAATTTTTTAATAAGTACTTACAGGGATAACTAGCTACCTTTGGCTTGGCCTGAGAAACAGCCCTTAACAAGGTGCTCTTTCCAGCATTGGGAAAGCCCACCAGGCCTATATCAGCAATTAATTTTAGATCTAATTTTACAGGATATGACTGTCCCCGAACACCCAGGAAGCCGTTTTTTGCATGCCCCCCGACACCGCCTTTAGCAATTATCAATTGCTCGCCTACCGTATTGAGCTCTCCTGTCATTAAAATTTGAATGTATTAAAATAACATGAAGTTAATTTTTGTTAATAAATAAGATTACCCAATTTTTTCCCCAGTTCAGTAATCACAGTCACTCCGACGGGAACTTCGAATTTCACATCCTCTCCGGGAGGACCTAAAATAAAATTATGCGACGCGTCTTTTCCATCAGCCCCTTTATAACGTTTTGATTTATTGGTTTTGAAAACGTTCTCCAAATCTATACCCTCTTTGGCCTCTATGATAACGTCCCCACCTTTACCCCCAACTCCTCCAAACCTACAACGAAAATACTAAACTAACACGGCAACCATTTATCACCGAATTACTTGGGGAGCCCATTGCCACCACTACCCCCGGAAACGAATATTCGAAGAGAGTCTCTAAACCCATACCGCAAATAATTTCTAGATTTCCTAACAACTTTTTCTGACAATAAACGCGTCAAGAACACCATCTTTTCAAAGAATTAAGCATATTTTTAGTTAAAAGATATTTAATTATACAAAAATTAACTTAACCTCGAAAAATATATCCAGAGACTACGATTTGGAATGGCACATGCTTAAATATTGTGAAAAATATGAACCACCAATGTACGAAGGACGTTCACCCATTCAAAATGCCAAACCAGATATGCTAGCGAGTTGTTAGTCATTAAATTTAATTTCGACTCCAATTGATAATGAGCCTGTTTGTGCAATATATAAAAATTATTCAGAAAAAAATCTAGAACTTAATTAATTCCGGAAATTCTGTTCTTAAAAGATTTAGATTTTTTTTTTATTAAAAATTGAATTCTGCGTTATTCTGATATCAGTTTGCGGTAATCGGCAACCGTTGCTGAATATAAATTTTTGGAGCCCCTCACAATCTACCTTGTGCAGAGCAACGAGGTATTGTAAATCACACTGTGTATCATTCACCTACCTATACGATGAGAAATAACCACTTAATTGAGCTTAATAGATAAATTAGACCTGATCCGTGTCCCCTAAGGCCTCTCCACTTTAAATTATAACCGTTTTGGTTAGCAATGTTTAACGCAAATAACGACGGTCTCGGCTCTGACCTGAAATAACACGATCAAAATATCTCGTACCTTACGTATCCATTAATTTCAGGAATTTGTTAAAAAATAAACAATTTATGGTGTAAAGGTGATGTGATCATGTTAACGCCCGAGAATAAAAGTGACAAAAAGTGCGGGTTCCCCGATAATCGAAGGTAAGACGATACCAAAAATAATAATATACTAATTAGTGTTAAAAATTCTAAGTTCTAGTTCGTTGTAAATGAATGCGACGTTTATTAAAATTTTGCAAAGTGACTATATTTATAGTAACACAGACAGAAACAGTAACCACAGTATTTTTTTACTCAAGTCATTTAAAAGGTGAAAATTTCCAGTTACATGTAAATAAGTGCTTTTTTTCTTTTTTTTGCTTTAAATAGGTGATATCTAATATCTAAGTGTCAAGCTTTTTTTCCAAATTTTGCAGTGTTCACAGTCCTTATGAAGGGACAAAACTGTCATTTATTTCATTTTGGAAACCATATTTTACCTGGATCAAGGCAAATTAAAAACACTGGCAACAAGTTAAATACGAAGTTCGGTACAGTACAGTACGATATATTTACTAAAAATGTTCGCTATTAATTAACATTTATGGCTCAACCAAAAAAACCTTTGTTAACTTATGAAAAGCAATTCAATTATAAATTTTAATTTATACGCTTTAAAGCATGCCTCAGAGTCGTAGGTTTAGCACATTTAAGTCATAATAAACTGCGATCTACACTTTTTATTACGTCGCATTTTTCCTATCGGACGGTCATCGATCGTCTTCTCCTCATCACAGCGAAAACCAAACTAAGATGTAAATAATATCGAAATGGTTCAAAAGGAGTTTTAAAAAAAGGTACCTATATGCAGCGCCAATGTTGCAGAGTCGTGTGTATATTAATAGTGATAAATTAGTATAACAATTTGTCTCTGGGCTTGTTCTATAAATAAATATGGTAATGCGTACTACATATAAGGTCGTATCAATTTTAAACCTTGCCATATCTAAAAGCAGAAACACTTTTTTATTGTAACGCGCACTAAGTACCCTACAACACTAAATATGGGCCTGCAAATAGCTACTTAATGGTTTTTAAAAAGTCCCTCATTTCTCGACTTGGATAATAATTTGGCAACGTCGCGCTACAAGAAAAAACCCTTGCCTATTTAAAAATGGTAACAAAAAATGTGTATTTAAATTGTCAACACAACTATCCCAAGATGGTACGCTACACGAAATTTATTGATTATTTAATAAATTGCTACAGGTGTTTAAATTTTATATTCACACTCGCATTGCGAAAAACAAATACCGTCGGCATGATATTGAAACATGACCCATTGTAGCGTCATTGAAGCATTTAATTCTTCAACAGTTTCCTCGCATTAAATCACGAAAATAATAGTTTTATAAACAGTTCTTGGCAAAACCGTTTAGTGTATTGTTTGCAGTTTCGTGAGACGACGCAAGACCAGCATCTACGAAATGGACCATGGTACCGATGGGGTGATTTTCCAAAATCAGAAAAGAATCCTTAGCACGTTAACTATCGGTAAGAGGTACGTTACTGATGAAATATCTAAATAGAAATTTAATATCCAATATATGCATTTATCCATTATTTATCGCTCCTATCACATATAGCCAGATTCAACTACTTATCGTCAGATGGCTTCGGACAAACCTTTTTGTTCTGATAACTAAGTATTTATTTGATCCCTTATTAATTTGGCGAAAATGTTTAAAAGGCCTTTTTGGTTTTTAGAAAAATTTCGGAAGAATTATTGCCGCCTGGCAGTGCCGGAATCTTCCGACAGAAACCTCAAAACTTTGATTACCACCCATTGACTATTGGTGAATACGTGCGGGTCTCAATCGGTAATATAGGGAACATCTTGTCTAGGAAGATGGCGGCAACAAGTTCAGCACCGTCAGTTCCGTGGCCAAATTCTAAAGACGATTACGAACTTGGCAAAGTTATCGGTTAGTATTTGGTCTTTTGAAGGTGACGATTTGCCTTTCTCCAAGAAAAAGTACAGTGATAGTTAGTTCAAGTGATAGTTTACCGGCTATTTTATCGAGACTCGTTTTTTAGGTTATGTGCTCTTTTTTTGGTATTAATGTTCCGGTACCTTTTCCCTTAATTAAGTATTGTGTTCAATTTGTGTGCTATCGAAATAGTGTTTTTTTATTTTTTTAAGTTCGGGCTTTTCATTAATTTAAAATTACTCCATGGGAATTAATTTGTTAATGTGACCCCTTTTTGATTGGGTCAAGTGATTGTGATCAGTTTCTAATCTTGAGGTATTTTAGACTTGATAAGATAAATTGCGCGTGTAATTTATTTGTGTTTTATTTCATGGGATCTACAAAATGATTTTGGTTAATTGTTTAGTTCGGGAATTTTTATTCTACAGGTGTCGGAGCGACCGCTGTTGTGCACGGAGCTCTTTGCAAACCTCGCAATGAAAAATGCGCGATCAAAAGGATCAACTTGGAAAAATGGAACACCTCCATGGACGAGCTTCTCAAGGAAATTCAAGCTATGTCCAGCTGCAACCATGAAAATGTTGTCACCTACTACACCAGTTTTGTGGTGCGCGAAGAACTTTGGCTTGTCCTTAAACTGCTTGAAGGTAACCATTCTATAGTCTAATCCTTGTTGTCGGAAATTGCAAGAGTTGATTTTTTTAAGGCGGAAGTCTTTTGGATATCATTAAACACAAGATGAGAATCTCTAATTGTAAACATGGCGTATTTGATGAGTCAACCATAGCTACTGTATTGAAGGAAGTGTTAAAGGGTTTGGAGTATTTTCACAGTAATGGTCAGATTCATAGGTAACTTTTAGTGAAAAGCGTCTTGATCTATTGCACAAATTCGTTTTTTAGGGATATTAAAGCTGGTAATATTCTCTTGGGTGAAGATGGAACAGTTCAGATTGCCGATTTTGGAGTTTCGGCATGGCTGGCGACAGGTAGAGACCTTTCTAGAGAAAAAGTGAGACACACATTTGTCGGAACACCATGCTGGATGGCGCCTGAAGTCATGGAACAGGTATGCATAAACACCATATTTTAAAAAATGTAATTTACTCTTTTGACAGGATCATGGATACGATTTTAAAGCGGATATATGGTCCTTTGGAATAACGGCTATTGAAATGGCCACAGGTACAGCTCCATATCACAAATATCCACCCATGAAGGTACTTATGTTAACTCTGCAAAATGACCCTCCAAATCTTGACACCGGAGCAGAAGAGAAAGATCAGTACAAGGTATGAAGAAATTGCAATCATTCCTTTCCCCTTAAAGTTGAAACTTCCGTTTTTATTTGTTAGGCCTACGGAAAAACTTTTAGAAAAATGATTACCGACTGTTTGCAAAAAGAGGCCTCGAAACGTCCAACGGCCGCGGAACTCTTAAAGCATCCATTTTTCAAAAAGGCCAAAGACAAAAAGTACCTGCAGCAGACCTTGGTCGCCATCGGACCCAGCCTGGAAACCCGGGTGCAAAAGGTACAAAGTTGGCGTCTCCAAAAATTGGGATTTACCTATGGGGTCTTTATAGGCTTCTAAAAGACAGCCAGGCACTTCTGGTCGCTTACATCGAAAAGAGACCGGGGAGTGGGTGTGGTCGAGCGAGGACGAAGGTGAAGGTGACGAGTCAAGCGAAAGTGATACAGATACCAAACCCATGAACACTTTGGTATCGGCTGGTTCATCAGGTTCGGACCATGAAAGCAGTGAAGGAGATCCTCCGCCAGTAAACTTGGTGCTAAGAATGAGGTTAGATTATAGGAGAAAGGTTTTGTCCTACTTTCAATTTATTAATTTCAGAGAGTTTGGAAAGCCAATTCCCTTTAGGTGTGTAGCCTGATCCTTGATCCTACCTTCATCCCAATTTCCATAATAAATTGAAGCCAATGAAAGCTCATTTGATATTTATTGTCATTTATTGATTTAGAAATGCGAAGAGAGAATTAAACGACATCAGATTCGAGTTTGCAGTAGGTAGGGACTCTGCAGAAGGTATCGCTAGCGAATTGGTAGGAGCGGGGCTCGTAGATGGGCGCGATATCACGGCCATCACGCAAAATCTTCAGACTCTGATCGAACAGAGGCACACGCTGAAAGTGATCACCTTCCAATTGGTAATTGGACCATTTCGTTGGGTTTTGGGGCCGGCAAACGACAATTTTTGTTGTAGAACTCTGGCGTGAGTACCAACGAAACCCCCGACGAAAGAGCTTTAATAGGATACGCCCAGATTTCAATTACGGACTGAAACAGACTGGCTTTTAACTTTAACTCTAGGCCCGATTTTTCTCACGCTCCTGGAATCTACTGATCGTTGTAGTCATTTATTTACTATATCACACCCGTAATTTTGAGAGGTTCGTTTAACTTCAAATTGTTGCTAAAATTAAAAGTTCCCTTGAGTAAGCAGATGATGAGACTGTGAGCACTCCTACCTCATTTAGGTCACCTAAAAGTTGGTTGGACAATAATTCTTGTCGGTAGTGCTAAACAAAACTTATGTTAAATGTATTCAGTTATAATTTTTAAAAGTAAATTTAGCATAGGTCATGCGCCTTCACGGTTGGACAATAAAAAAATGTGTTACGATCAATAGATTTCAATTTCTTGTACTTAAGTTTCACAGGATTCGCAAAACGTTACATGATGGAAATATAGCGCTTTCTTGGAACTACGGAGTAAACTAATCCTCCGATCCGTTTCAAATAAAGCGCATCGTTACGGTTCCCATTCTGTATGTATATATTTGTCTGGGAGTATTTTAGAGCCTATTAAAATTACCACCTACAATGCCTTTTTTTAGAATTTACACTACTAGTCGGACTACTTTTTTTCTTAAGACTTCTAAGTATCGTAAGTAATTGGCAAGTATGTCATTTGGCGATTGGGAACGGTTAGTAATCTGTAAATACATTATTTATTTATTCCAATAAAATTTGTTGCAATATTTTCAAAATTTGTTTTTTTTTTTTCGTTTCTTTCCAGGGTAGTTTCGTGAATTAGTGCTTGTTTTGTGTAGTGTATGGTGTAGTGCTCAGTTTCCAGACATCTTATATTCACGCTGGTATCCAGACCGGATGAATATGTTCCCAAACCTGGAGGATGGTGGACTAGTCCAGACCCTCCTTCTTTACAAGGGCATCCATTAGAAATTTTGAATTATATTAACTAATATTGCAGAAACCAGAATAAAAAAAAACGCTCTGGCAGTATGTCAATAGGATTTTTCTCCTTGTAGTCATTCTGGCACAAAGGATTTTGTGGCAAGTTTCATATAGTGTAAAACTTTATAATAAATATACTTTATTTTTTAATTAAGACGACCAACTTAATAAGTTTGGGCTTATGCTAATTTTTTATTCGCAAAGTTCGCGGCGATTCGAGGTTTCCTTTGCGATTTGGGTCTTCCTTTATTTGGGCCTTTTATTTTCTGAAAGTCCAAAAAATAAATTAAAAATACACACCACTCGTGGCGAAGTGGAACATACCTTTTCCACGTTTTCCGCAGACTTAGTTTCGGCTGGGGCCTCGTTCTTGCTGCCTTTATTTTTATGATCCTCCGAAGATTTACTCTTCTTTTCGTGACTCGTCGCCGCCCCTTTACCTCTTTGATTTTTAATCGCTTGAAGTGGCACGAACTGAGTTTTCATCGCCGGAGATTTGCCTTTGGCGGACTTATTCTCCTGCTCCACCCAAGTTTTTGGAGGAATCGGGAATGCATCTTTGGGTTGTAAATTATGCTCTTTTAGTGCCGCCTGCGAAGAGAAACGTATACCGTCGAGCGCAAAGTGAGTAAAACGAAGTAGTTCAAATGTACCGGCATTACCTTACTTATCAAAATATGTAACACTTGACTGGCAACGTTTTCGGTGGCTTCCTCTTTTGTATACGCCGGTTTACCTAGTATCATTTCGCTATTGGGTAGCGTGATTTGAGCTCTAAACGCATTATCCGTCAGAAGGTATTGGTAGCGAGGCAAACCCAACCCGTTAGATTCATAGTATGTCATCAATCTTACACTGGCTGGCACCTGTGCTACTTGCTATGAAAATCAATAAACAATATCATTTTGGTTAGTTTTAGATTTTTTTCACTCACGGCTGCCAACATTTCAAAGGAAACATTCGGAGAATGTTGTTCCTTGACTTTTGATTTTTCCGAAGTAACCCCTTGTTGTCCTTTTTGTGGTGGAGCAGTTTCATTTTCATCGTTATTAATTTTAAGGATATTTTTCAGGACGTTGGTGTTTTCATCCACTACTTTATCTTGTTTATTGGGTTGGGTATCCTGACAACAGTTATGAGCATTCCTTTTGAAAAAAAACCTATAGAATGATACTTACTCTAACGTCAATCTCGTCCGCAGGCTTATCCGAATTCGTTAAAACCTTTTTGGCAAAACTAGGCATAAAATCGGTTCCGGCATCCCGCTTCTGAAACGAAGACGAATGACCGCCATTAACGAACTTCTTATCGCTTTTAATCGGCTGCTGAGGATTTGCGCCGGCCTTCTGATTCTCAGGACTACGCCAGGATTGCTGTTTTTGGGTCGAAAACATTGCGAACGCCGAGTTGGACTGGTTAAACGAAGTCGGACTGGCGTACTGCTGCGTTTGAGCAAAGTTTTGATACGAATTTTGCCCATGTGTTAGTATTTGCTTCGGCGCGAGTTGATCGAAACTTTGACGATAACTCTGCGGACGTTGTGCGGACGGTCTGCCATCTTTGTAACCTTTTCCTGTCGTGTCGGATAGAAAATTTACTCCGCCTAAGGAAATACGAACAATTATCTTTTTCTAACGGTGGGAAAGTTATGATATAAGCTTTGAATGTCACCAACAACAAAATATAGGTTTTAGTTTATCAATTTAAATAAATGTAATTTTTATCCGTCGAGTGAGCCTCGGTAGCTGAAGGTCTGAAAGAATGTTTAATTTTGATAATAGTAATAAAAAAAACTTCAAATCAAATGTGAGCATGTCATAATATTTTCGTGTCTAGTACTTCCATTTCAGAGATCGCCCATTCCTTTTGAATCCGATTTTTCGATTCGCACGGTCTCTTGCACGAGATTAATGTCAGAAATCCTTACTTATTGTTCAAAAATTATGACTTAAATCAGGAATTATGACTAATTTTCCAGATATTCTATTTTCTTATCTCATCGCTTGTAGGCAATATTGTCGATTTAGAGCAGAATAAAACAATTTTTTTACAAAAAATGGACATGAATATGGACATAGTTTGTTGTTTAATTCACCAGGAGCGGACTAACTTTTACACAATTTAAAACAAAGGTTAAGGGCCGTTTGAACACTTAAATATCTTTCTTTATCGTGGAGCAAAAGACGAATGAACCAGTTTGTTATTAATGTTTTCTATTTTCTTTTTAAACAGCCTGTTTAGAAAAATAAGTATAATCTTTCATGTTATGTTATTTAAAAATCCAATTTTGATTGGATTTTGTTATTATTATTATTATAATATGATGTCTCCATGATGTTTCTATCACCATCTCTCTTACCTGTCTTGCCGGTTTTCTGTTCCAATAACCTCTGCCCATACGAGATATTAATAAAAGAATTCCTGGGTACCCTGTAACCTCTGCCGGGAGAGCAATTGAGCGTCAGACCGTCTTTGAAAACTTCATCAAACACCACATCGTATATGGTATCCCGATCATTTCCATCAGGAGATTCCCATATACCCACCACTATTCCTTTTAAACCTAAAGGAACGCTATAACCGGATCGGACGTTCACAATGCGATCGAAAAGTCTGACTTTCATTTTGGGATCGGGTACCAAATTGCCGATTTGAATCTCGGGCTGAAAAGTCAAATTTTAAATGCATATTGCGCGTGTGCGCGCGTTTTTTTTACTTGGTAGAGAAGAGGCGGTTTAATCTGCATAGTCACTTTTTTCGAGACTAGTTTTTTCGTCGGCCTGTCTAGGGTTTCCTCAATTATTTGTATCACTTCCGGTTCCGCCACTTGTCTTCCGCAAGGTCGCCTTTCTAGCCCGTAGATAGGCAGGGTTTTAAGCCAGGTTTGAATTTCCTTTATTTTATCCTCACTGCAATGACCGACATCGTCACAGTTGAGGAAATTTACCTGTTACACCTTATAACTACTCAAAACTATTTTTATTTGAAGTAGGTCAAGGACATTATAACTTAAAAAAAACACAGATTATAAAAACATTAAACAAGGTGAAAGTGACTTAAGACAGAATGGCACTAAAGTAGACTTTGTCTTTGGAAGGTTGTGGTGAAGTGTATTTAGTGATGGAACACTTAATACCTCTAATGAGGAAATTATTAGAGAGAGGAGAAGTGAGGTGCTTTAATTCTGGATTCAGTGACTCTGGTTGAGATAGCTTTAGGGCTCTTTAAACTGTAAAGGGTTTTTATATAGAAGTTAGATCTTTTGCTAGGGAGAATCAATAGGTCGAAGGGTTAATCCTGGTTTGTGAATGATGAGAAATTTTAGAGTCATGAGGGGTGACCGACTTTTTCACGGACTTTGATAAAGAAGCCTAAATAACGAGATTTAAGGTTGCTTGGGATCTTTTTTAAGTAAAGTTTTTTTCCCTGATGCTCACTTGTTTCTGTTTAGTTGGGTTGACAGTTCTGTTTTAGTTTTTTTTTTTCATAATGAATAGCGTTTCCCCTAAACTTTGTTAGACTTAGGACGTTTCTATAAACCTTTTTTTTGTGAACAATATATTGTTTGTTTTATATAATAGAACCTAAATATAATTATACAACACATAATCCCTTTCACCTGTAAAATACCCATGCGAATGAGGATATAGATCCTGAAAACTATTTCGCTCCTAAATTCTCCAATAAGTTACCAAATATCAAATAGAATTTTAAAGACTTTCAAATTAAAGACAAAAACGTTCATAATTGACTATACTGTGAAATATTTTTTATATATGGATGGATGGATAATGAAATTTACTCCCACACACAAGTTTCGTATCGGCATATTTACCTATTTTTGCCAAAAATCGAATCCGCCATCGCGTTATCGTACGAATCGTTTTGACTAATAAAGTCAAACACGGCCGGAAACTTTTCAGCGTATTCCTTAACCAAATCGGCAACCTTGTCGGTATAGTACCATGTCGACCCTATTTTGCGCGTATAGCCGGGCGTTTCTTTGTTTTTCTTGTTAAATTTCAAGTCCAGTCCGATGTTAACGCTTTTTAACTCGCCTTCGTTATTCCTAGTGTTAACGAATATCGAACCGGTCACCCGGGAAAACAGGATATTGCTCATCCCTAAAGGGCTCGCTACATTGTGCAAGGCCTTATAATTTCTGAACAGTTCGCCCTGTAGAACCGTCGCCGCTACGAAATTCGGTTCTTCTTTGACGGATACCAATACCTTAAGGCGCCCGCTTTTTATTGTCTCCTTACTATTTAAAACCTAAAGAACATTCAATTAAACATACGATATTTATAAATCACCATAAAACGCCCGGTCGTTTTTGAAAAGTAATTTTACATTAAAGGCAGGATAAAATTTCATATCCCAGAAATAATTTATACAGGGTGTTCGGAAATCACATTCGAGAAAAAATAAGAAAACGTTTTTCAAGTAAATCAATTTATGGTACGACCTTGGAATCTGGATAAAGAATAAAAAAGTCTGGATAAAGAATGTTGAAAAAAATTGCATTTTAGTTGCTCGAGCATTTTTTTTTTTTCGAAAAAAATATTTATTGTCAGTACAAACAAGAAGCCTTTTTATTTAAGTTTGGAAACTAAGAATTTTCGGTCCCAATTTCTTATTTAAAATTAAATTATTTCAACGTTATTTCCGGGCACCCTGTATTGTGCTAAGCCCAGCTCTGACCACGCCGCAGTCGCTAGCGAGTTGGTCGCAAAGAGAAGCCGGAACGCACTATGAGTGTAAATAGTTAGTTTCAAGTTGAAAATAAATGATCAGCTTCAGCTTCATAAATAATTGTTAAATAATAAAAAAACATAACTTACCACACCTTGAGATCCGTAATAGGGATTGCTCAAAGTAAAACATGAACAACCCTCGGGGAAAACATCGAAGATATCCCTAAACGCAGAAGGATGGGAGTCATAGGCTGTTATATTGGACACTACCGTTTGCAATGGATAATTGGCAGTGTTTTCGGAGAACTGCTTCTCCAATGTCACGCGGCCGTTGTGAGAAAACACATACTTGCGACCGGTCATCACTTGCACTTGCACCAACACTTTTACTTCGCCGAATGTGATACCCAGCCGGTTGTTATATCTACAAGACGCGTTTTTCACAAATGTCGCCCACCTTTCGATGTCGCCAACGTTACCTATCGACGATTTCGCGGTACTCTGCTGCGAATAGTGACGGATTGTTTAAATCTTCAACGTTGTACTGGTTTCGTTCGCCCATGCAGATATATTTTATTTTACTATTGAAAATAGCGCTCACTCTGAAAATATTACCTATTATTATCAGATTCACATCAAAAATTTCCAATTTCATGTGGCCAGATGGGCAATATTTAACCTAGACTAAATGACCAATTTTTTTGCACTTCCGGTTTGAGCGGAAACGACAGTAATTTTTGATTTTTTTTGGATTCAGGGTACGTAGGATAGGACGGTTATTCTTTTTTGTTTTTTTTTTTTTTTAATTTTTTTCTAACTTTTGAAAATTGTGTCTAGGAGGCTGTGAATATCATAATAGTATATCATACTCACGAATAATAAACGAGTGACTTAAAAGGTTTACCGAGCGTGTTGCATATACTGTTTCTACGATCGTCAGTTTTTGGGTACATTTTCACAAAACAACACGAACACATTCACTGATGATGAAAACATCCGATCGCTCCCAAACCCGGGCGGTAAAATCCCGGAAATGTCCGAAGTGGCTCGGATTCGTGGGAAACGAAACTGACGTGGTAAAGTGACGCTTGCTTGGTGTGTAATTAGACATTTTACAGACGGGAATAGAAAAATACTATTTACCGGGTCACGGGAAAATTGTAAATGAAACTTTTCTTTAATTGTCTAATGGTCAATAGCACTTCATGTAATGAATTATTAATTTTTTATTATAACCTAGTTTTTTTCAAATACCACCCCAGTGGGAACAAAAACTTTTTAAAACCGATCCATTTTTTGCAAAATTTTAACACCAAAATTTTCAAAATCCGGAAAGAAAAAACCAAATAGTAAATACATTTTCATAAAAACAAAATATTACTTAGGTGGCTTTGCTTCTATTCATCATCGAGTCGGCAAGATTAAAAATAGAAATTTTTTCTTTTCTTTTCAAATCCGTCACGTTTTGGGATAATTCAACACAATATTTTGCAAATCCGTTAGAAAATAAACCATCAACAATGTTGGTTGAATCGATTTGAAAGTGTTTTACTGTGAGACAAGTTTTGCATTGCTTCACATTCATTTATTTTGTGTGCGATAGATATTAACTTAATAAACAACTTTGAAATAATGTTTTCAAAATGTCCGCCTTCTTGTATACGACACTCCCTGGCTATAGAAATTACATTTGCTGTAACCCTTCTTAACAGTTCTGGGGTTTAGTATTTATGATGGTCACAGCCTCCTAGACACATTTAAAATTCAAAAGTTACTGTCGTTTCCGCTCAAACCGGAGTCTACATATTGTCAAAAAATTGGATATTCAGCCTATATTAACCCTTCCAAATTCCAAATCACTATCTCAAGCCGTTTAAAAGTTATACGAGTGTTCTTACTTTCTAGTGTCACCCGGTATATATACCGCTAAAAGAACTAAAATTACGATTCAATAATGGCAGTTTTAAGATTTTATTCTTTTACTGATATTACAGGTTAGGGAAAAGATTTCAAAAGTGATATCGCTGCGTTTAATTTTTTTGAGGAAATAAATTTTATTTACGGTGATGTCGCAAAGTGCCATCTAGCGGCGACACAAGCAATCTAATTTCAAACTGCTCAGTGCAACGTGGATAGCGGAAAAGGGCCCTTTTTTTAACAATTCCAAGTTTGATAAAATGCAAAGAGGATTCAACACAAAAAACATATTCAAAAAAAACATTTCAAAAGTGATTATAAGGAAAGAAATTTTATTTATAGTGATTTCGCAAAGCGCCACCTAGCGGCGACACAAACAATCTAATTTCAAACTGCTCCGTGCAACGTCGATAGCTGAAAAGGGCCCTTTTTTTAACTATTTCAAGTTTGATAAAATGCAAAAAGGGTTCGACACATAGAATATATTCAAAAAATACATTTCAAAAGTGATATCGCTGCGTTTAATTTTTTTGACGAAAGAAATTTCATTTACAGTGATGTCGCAAAGCGCCATCTAGCGGCGACACAAGCAATTTAATTTCAAACTGATCAGGATAGCTGAACTGTACACTTTTTTTTAGCAATTTTAGTGTTAGTTACAATTAAATTTTGAAGTGCGACTTTGTTTTTGGTTACTATTGAATATTATTCATACTATTTTTGTCATATAAACAAATAAAATAAATAAATATTTGGGCTACATACTTTTAAGGTTAACAAAACTGCTAATATGGTTAGTAGCCATTAACATGTCATAGACTCACTTAGCCTCCAGAAGATGTGGCCATCCCACCCAGACAATGTTTCCTAATAATTCCCAAGGAATATCGTCCCCACCATCACTTATTATATTGACTATCATGCTCTCATTCCTGCTGGGTTGCTCGAAGACCTTCACCTTCGCTCTTTGAAGTTGACCCTGAAAAATCGACCAGAAATTGGCTGAATCGATAATCGTGTAAATCACGATCCTCACCTCATATTTGAGGTGTTTCATGGTAGGAAATCCTGGGTAGTACACATCCATGTTCGCTCCTGGATAAGCCCCTTTTATCAATTTCTCTTTGGGCACTCTAATATCATCCACAGAAAAACACTGCAACTCGCTGTGACTGTGTTTGACCGTTGGGAAGTAGTCCGGTGCCTCATACGGACCCAGATCCTTATCCGTATAAGTGTAAACCAACATAGGGCCATGAGTGTTCCTCCTTTTCTCCTCTTCTGTTAAGAGTTCATTACAGGGAGTCATCGCTTCCAAAAGCACCCGCTCGTCCATAAAAGGGATTAATACTACCGCTTCCCATTCCTGTCTCTTCCCATTCAAATCCGTCTTGAAATCTTCAGGATAGTACTTGTGTAAGGGCGATTCCTCGTCAGTCATAAGATTATGGTAAGCTTGGGGCAAATGTTGCTTACTGGCAGCCGGCAGTACTCCCAACAACTAAAGTGGAGTACTGAGTAACTCGAAATGTCGGAAAAGGTGATACGTACTTGTTCGTAGGGTCTAAACGGGGTGCCTAAGTCGAATTCGAATTTTACATCTGAAAACCCTTTGATGTCGGTGATGTATGGGGCATAATGGTGGGGGTAATACCAGGACCATGAACAAACACCGTTGTAATAATAATTTAAGTTCCACTGGATCGCCCGGACATAACCTTCCGCTTGGGTTCTCATAACTTCTCTATAGGGATAATAACTAACTTCATTATATGTAACTAAGCTTTTTTGTTGTTTAAAACACATAAAACGAGTCCTTCAAATTCAGAAACTTATTGTTTTGTCTTATTTTAGAATTTTGGTGCGGGACAACAAATAAGCAGATAGAGTAATACTCACGGTGTTACATTTTTATATTCAAGCTTATTCCTGTAATAATCGTTTTTGTAGTACTGAAATGCCATGTCCTCCTCATCTTCCGATGGTTCAATATGCTAAGAATAATAATCTGTATATTTATTGCTTATTAACTAACAAAACATACCAATTCTTCTGTTTCCTTTATCAGGGCTGATAGGCCAGAATCTTTGGATCTTTCATGGTCTCTAATGGCAATTTCACCCTTAAATAAACCGATAGCACCACATGACATTCATTACTAATTACACTTACTCCCAGACAAAGTTTACGGCCTGTTTTAGCTTCCATATAAAGAAGATCATCTCTTAATTCTACAAAAGTCTCCAATTCAATGCTTCCGAGCTTCTGCATATATTTTTCGAATCTTTCCAAGTTCAATGTGCCACTTTCATTAATATATCCTGCAAAAAAATCAAGAAATATTCAAAATGTTGTATATGAAAGTATCGTACCATCCAATGTTGGCAAAACATCCATGTAGGCTTTGTACAAAACTGGAAGGGCTCCATTGGCAATGTGCAAGTTTGGCAAATTTGGTATAAAGTCGTTTCCAACTAAAAAACCCATAAGAACCTGCCGAAAAAATAAAAAGCAATGAAAAATCTAACAAATAATTGAAGCGTCTTACCCAATCGTCGATGATTTTCTCAAAATCATACTCGAACCCTACCAGCTTGTCTTTCACGGGAGCAAACTCCATCTCCAAGTATTCCCGCATCAGAGATAGGTGTAACAAAAAGAATGTTATTTCCTCAGGCACTGATTGTCTTTTTGTTGATTTTCTGCCAAATTTAACCTTCAAAGCAAATACATTGTAGATAATAAATACCTGATGAATTGGGGAAAATCACCTCCTCTCTTAGCAAGCAAAAATGTGGCTCATGTGTACAGAGGCCCAGCATTATTAAATCAGCATCTAAACCATATAAGCAATGTCTGGTGTTAGGATCATAACCTGGCAGTGATCTCATGTACCGTATATAGTCCATTATTTTATGTTCTCCTTCACCGGGGGTCTCATGTCCAGACAGTACGACTTTGCAATTTCTCCACAATGGATCATTAGAAATCTTTCTCACAACAAAATATTTCAGTTGCTCATGGAGTTTAGCCATAAAAACAGTTCCAGGAGTAATGCAGTTGGAATCGAATCTTGTTTGTGTTGGCAAATCTTCACCCCTTTCTTTGGCCTCTTGTTCCTGTTTGATGGCATCTTTTGCTACTCGAAACCTTCGGCTACGTTGCTGATTCATCTTAGCTCGTGGTGCAACACCGTCTATAGCCATAAAGAACAGTTTCCTAGGACGGATCATACGGAACAAAACCTCAATGTAGTGGAAAATATCTTCAAAGATTTTCTCTTCTGTTATACGAAAATGTGGATTGTTATCGTCAGGATGAGAACACATATGAATAATGCCATTCATATCTAAATACATGTTATCGAATTCAGGTATCTAAAACAATTGGCACTAATAAAATTACACTGAAGCAGTTGCCGAAAAATTGTACCTGATATTCCCGAACGATTTCGCTTAAACAAGGATACCGTTCGCTAATATATCTAAAAAATTTTGGGACCCCCATATTTATTTATTATTTTCGTATAACAAAATTTGATGTAAAATAGCGACAAAATCACAGACGATCAATTCAATATATCCCACAAAATCTATTGGGCAAGCGGGTTAGGATCATTCCTCCATTTCCGACTCGAACGAGGATTCTAAAATTTCGGTCGCTGGCCGACACATATTATCGCTTATGTTTACAAAAAAGTGTTTAAACGGATATCGCAAAAACACCTCCATCCAGTTTCTAAACGCCGTGAATAGCAAAAACAACGGTATCATAAGTTTTATACCAAAAAATAGAGGATTCTCTTTGAAGTCCGCAAGAAACGTTTTGCGATGTGCAATGCTAAATTGGCCAATGTTCCTTTGTCATAAGCTAAGGTGGTATTGCAGAATTTGCAGCAGTGTCATAGTTGGCTGAATGATGTTCCTATGTTTGGGACTTGAGAAGAAGCAGAAACAAAAAGAAGAAGGAAGAAGAAGTGTCATTCAATTGTATCGCTAGAAAAATATTTCTTATGGTGAATTAAGTTTTGTTAAATTGTGTTATTAAGATCATGGAGTTGTCGAGCATTTTGCCGGCTCCGGTGCAGCCTGTTTGGGACCGAGATGACGAGCGCAAAAAGAGGGCCGCTGCGAACCCATCTACCGTTTTAGTCAGCGCTCAAGCCATAGCACCTCCCTACGGACAAAGGCGAGGTTGGGTACCGCGGAACGTTACCGATTATGGCGACGGAGGCGCCTTTCCTGAAATCGCCGTTGCTCAATATCCTCTAGAAATGGGACGTAAAAAAGAAAATGCCTCCAACGCATTAGCAGTACAACTCGATGCCGAAGGCAAAGTGAAATATGACGTTATAGCCCGGCAGGGCCACTCCAAAGATAAAATCGTCTATTCCAAACTGTCGGATTTATTGCCAGTGGAAATGGTGGCAGAAAATGATCCGTCATTGGAAAAACCGGCGCAGGAAGAGCTCGACGAGATCACCGAAAGGACTAGACAGGCGTTGATGAAGATTACAAATTCGAAAATTGCCGCGGCAATGCCGGTCCGGGCAGCCGACAAAGCAGCACCGGCACAATTTATTAGATATACCCCCTCCCAGCAAGGAGCAGCCTTCAATTCTGGAGCGAAGCAGAGAGTTATTAGGCTGGTGGAGGCGCAGGTGGATCCAATGGAGCCTCCCAGGTTTAAGACCAATAAGAAGATTCCCAGGGGCCCGCCATCACCTCCAGCTCCTGTTTTGCACAGTCCCACTCGCAGGGTGACGGTGCGTTAAGCCATTTTTATATTCTAATTTTGTTGAGATTGTGCAAAAAAATTCAATTAACCAGTAAGGATATATATATATATATATATATATATATATATATATATATATATATATATATATATATATATATATATATATATATATATATATATATATATATATATATATATATATATATATATATATATATATATATATATATATATATATATATATATATATATATATATATATATATATATATATATATATATATATATATATATATATATATATATATATATATATATATATATATATATATATATATATATATATATATATATATATATATATATATATATATATATATATATATATATATATATATAGGTTCCTATGAGCTAATGGATACAAGAAAAACTTAGAATTTGCTGAAAATCCAAAAGTTGAAGTTTTTATTTAAAAAAACTATTACAAGCAAAGGTGTATAGTACCGCTAAGCTTGCTTTGATAAGAAATTGTTCTGAATTTAATTGATAATGGGTTATGGACCTAATTTCATTGATATTTTAAATTTAAGGTGTTTGGTTTTTGCTTTTTTTTTATGTTGTGTTGAGTAGTTAGATTAAGTCTGTGTTTCTTTCATATTTAAAAGAAAAAAAATTATGGTTGCCTCAATGGAAAATGGAACAAGTCACATAATAATACAAATGATACAATTTGACATTTTCACCTTTGCGGCAGCATGAAGAATGCCTATTGGTCTCAGTTCATTCAAGCTAGGGGGCTTTTTTCAACGAAGTAATGAGAGCCATTTTCCCGATTGTTTGAACTGACTTAGATTGTAACGATACATTTGTAATATTAACTAGTTATTAAACAATAGGGTGGATACAGTTTTAACATTATTACGGAAATCTGGTCCAAAGTATTTTGCAAAAATAGCTAACAACATCCTCAACCGGCGTTTCTCCCGCAGGTCAAAGAGCAAAAAGAGTGGAAGATACCGCCGTGCATATCGAACTGGAAGAACGCCAAAGGCTACACCGTCCCGTTGGACAAACGGTTGGCGGCGGACGGACGCGGTCTGCAACAGTTGCACATCAACGAGAATTTCGCGAAACTCGCCGAGGCCCTTTACATAGCGGACAGGAAGGCCCGCGAGGCCGTCGAAACCAGGGCCCAATTGGAAAAGAAACTGGCCCAGAAGGAGAAGGAGCAGAAAGAGGAACACCTGCGACAGTTGGCGCAAAAGGCGCGCGACGAACGCGCCGGCTTCAAGACCGTCTCGAGCCACGCGAAGACCATGGACGATGAAGAGCAAGAGCGGGAAATGCTCAGGCAAGATCGGCACAAGGAACGCGCGAGGGAGAGGAATTTAGCCCGGGCGGCGCCCGATAAGAGGAGCAAGCTGGAAAGGCAAAGGGAACGCGACATTTCCGAACAAATCGCACTGGGCATGCCGGCCCGCGGACCCTCGTCCAACGAAACCCAGTTCGATCAGAGACTGTTCGGTCAGGCCAAAGGTTTGGGTCAGGGTTACGGAGACGACGAGGCGTATAACGTATACGACAAACCGTGGAGGGAAGGCGGATCGATGGCTAACCATCTTTACCGGCCGAGCAAGAATATCGATAAGGACGTGTACGGGGGCGAGGAATTGGAGAAAGCTATCCGAACTAACCGGTTCGTGCCGGATAAAGAGTTCAGCGGGACGGATAGGAGCGGTGCCGGACGCAGCGGTCCCGTGCAGTTCGAAAAGGAGGAGGATCCGTTCGGGTTGGATCAGTTTTTGTCGCAAGCTAAGAGAGCGAGCAAGCGCAAGGAACCGGAGAAGCGCGACGATCGCGATAAGAAGAAGCGTAGGGATTAGTTTCCGGGTCCCCGTACCCATACCCAGATACCCCCAAAGCGTGTGGGTATTTTGGAGATACACTCCCACTTTGTTTTTTTTTTTTTTTTACAGCGAGACCTGGCGTTTACGGGTACCTGGATTGCAAAAATGGTTCAATAAAAAGGCATTCTTTATTTGGTTTTGTTTTATTTAATTTAACCAAGAAGCTGTCGTCTGCTGTACTATTAGATTTTATGGTGGCCCTACTACGATAAAAATTGATACGCAGGTGGCGTTGTTATTTTCTTTGAGATAGGATTCATCTGTTTGCCTCTACATTTCACCCACTAACCTGTGCTTTGGACCATCAAAACATCGGTATCTCCGTTTTGCCTGAGGATACGCAATGACCGCTGACAGATTGTCAATAAGTTTCGGACATGTTCTTTTTACGGTCGTATTATTTTTTTTTTAAATATGACTAGATCTCGTTAAATGTGCTCGTTAAAAGTGTGTGGATATCGCTGTTTCGAAGGAAAATGTGCTGGTTAGTGGGTTAAATACGCGGAAAATCATTACCTTCTCTACGATACCAACAATGGCGCCTGCGGCACATCAGTTTTTACCGTAGTAATTATATTATCGGGCACAACGGGCCCATCTGGTGGTCTAAGTGCTTGGACGCCCGCGAGGGCGCCGCCCTTTAATACCAATTATATTATCTAATAGCTATATGACCAAAGCAAATGTAATTTAGTTGTAGGTTTTTTTTTTATTTACACTTTATTTGGCCACTGCTGCCAAGGCAATTCGGCCAGCTTCTCGGTAGTGGTGTGCAATAAACTATTTCCATGAAGGATGCCTCCGTAAAGAGGGTCTGGGTGATACCATCATCCTACTGGACGGCTATACAGGAAAAAAAAAATGGACGAAAGAATTAGAATATGTGAAAACAATATGCAAAGTTTTAATCCACATGCATCTAAAAAGCGGCAAACAATTCTAGCAGCAAAATCCAACTGAGTGCCGTGAAATAAAATGGAATTAATATGCAGAGGCGAAGGAAAATTAGCACTAATGAGTGGTTCATACAACTGTTGTGATTTCTCCCAATGAAGAGCACAAGCAAACAGCACATTACTTAAATCGCCCAGTTCTCTAGTTGTAGGTTAGAAACGATTCCGATTCTATGTACTGACATCACCTGATACCTGTTTTCAAACATACATTATAAATAAAATATAGAGCGATCGATTCAGATAAACTATAACGTAAGAGATATGACTATATCGGTCTGACTTTAACTGACAATACGCCAATTTATGGGTACATGGATTGCAAAAATGATTCAATAAAAAGGAATTCTTTATTTGGTTTTGTTTTATTTCATTTAACCAAGAATCTGTCGTCGGCTGTACTATTAGACTATACGATAAAAATTGATACGCAGGTGGCATTGATATTTTCTTTGAGATAGGAATCATCTTTTTGCCTCTACATTTCACCTACTAACCTTTGCTTTGGGCCATCAAAATATCGGTATCTCCGTTTTGCCTGAGGATTTAATGGGATCGGAACATATTTCTAGAAAAAGCGGCATCCAAACTTAACGATCTGTCAGCGTCCATGTTTGTTGTTGTTAAATCTCGCGCATGCGCGTGTTGAATAGCAAATTTGCGTGCACATTTAAATTACATCGATTTTCCGAAAGTTCCATAGTGGTCCGCAGGAGCACAATAGAAAAACAATGCGTCCCTTTACCACACGAAACCGCGAAGCACTTTCCTTTTATAATAAAAAACTGCTTTGTGCTAGGCGCCACGAACTTGCCCCGCCCAGCGACGATTTTTTCAAAGCAATCTTGTTATTCTCGTAGAGATAGAAATCATCTTCCTGCCTCTATATTTCACCTACTAACCGGTGCTTGGCGCCGTTTTCCTGTCAAAACATCGGTGTCTCCGTTTTGCCTGAGAATTTAATGAAATCTGAACATATTTCAAGGCAAAGCGGTATCCGAACTTATTGACGATCTGTCAGCGGCCATGTTGGTTGTTGTTAAATCTCGCGCATGCGCGTGTTGAATAGACCTTCTCAAATTTTTTTCATGGTTGTTTCATTCTTGAAAAAATTAGATAGATACAGAATAATGTTGTCTCTCATTACCAATATTTACTAACCTTAGAGCATTATACTTGTCGTAGGTATTAACCTGCTACCTATGCAATAGTATATTTATTCGTTATTACCAGTTTTTGTCGATCTGGCATATTATTACCCATTGGTAATAGTAGGTAGTAGTAGCTGTGGTCGTAAAACTACTTAAGTATAACTATTACAAAAAATTGAAATAAGGTAGGTCAACAATTTTTGTATTATTTTTAGAAATTGCATAGTTTAAAACTGTGACATTAATATCCAAAATAATTTGGTCCTACATTTAATGCAATGAAAAACAACCTAACTTAAAGTATCTTTGATGTTTGTGACGTGTTTGCCTTCTCATCCGCATCTGAAACTATTTTAGTTTTGAGAAAGACAGGTATTATATATCCGTGCTTTATATAAAAAAAAAGAACGAGACTATATATACATTTATGTATTTCATTTCATTAAATACAAAACTCATTAAACTCTCATCGGTGAGATCTCTTTCATGAGAGTAGGTACTATCGCGTGCATAAAAAACTAGAACAAATATGAACTTTCAGTTTGACAGTAAAAGCCTATTTTCATGCAATATTTTTTTGTCAACCTAAACATTTTCTAGTTTTTTTTTTTGCTTGTGATGGTACCTACTATCACCATGAAGACAGCCTTGGAAAAAAAAAGAAAAACGTTTTCATGTATAAACCCAACAATCATTTTAATGTAAAAACTGTATTTCATGCAGGATGATTCCTTTGTTTTTGGGGTCTGATGCTTGCATCCATTTTAAGAATAAAATGTATTATGTATACGATATAATTAAAAATATAATTTTGTTCTGGGGGATTTTCTTTAACATTGCTTACTTAAATAAAAAATTAGTTTAGTTTTGTATGCCTAAATTTAACTGCTCAAAAACCATGAAGAGAAAGTGGATTTTATTTAAAAAAAGTATCAACTAAAAAATCGCAATGATATATATTTTATTAAATTATATTTCTTATGCTTTATTTATACTACATTTACGTCCTATTTATTTTTAAAAAACATAATAGCTATTTACTGTGGTATGTCTATCTATTCACAAGCGGCTTAAATGGGACATCGGCCGGATATACTGGGGATATTGTGTGCTATCTGGGGACTCCGGACGACACCCTAAAATACGACACGAAACGATCCGCCAATAAAGTCCAAAGAGAAATAACTTTGTTGCTAATATAAGCAGATCGAAAGCAGACAATTCGCGAGGACCACCGAGATCGGTTACGGGCGGGTCTACGCATAGTCGCGCACGCCTTCCCACGCCATTGTGATTGCGCGCTCACGCACCGATTGGCCGTCCTTAATGGCTTGCGTTCCGATTACGACGCCGACAGGTAAACCGATGTTTGTGTCCTGGGTAAATCGGGGGAGCTCGTGCGGTGTGTCGCTGCTCATTCCATTACAAAAATTAATTTAATTTTTGGATTTAAATAAGTTTAAAAGTTTAATAGGTAATTTAATATATGTATAAAAGAATATAATATTAATAAACGTTTATTATTTATCGTATAAAAACAAAATACGAAAACCTGTATGGTTCAAAAATTGAACTAAATGTTCAGATTTTCACGAAGTTATATATTTTGACATGACAATTGTTTCGACAACACCGTGTCTGTATCAGATGTAATATTCACCAACTACCTGCTACTATATATACCGAAAAATGACAATAAAACCTTAATTAAAATTGTGGTGATAATTTAAGTTCAATAAAGGTGAGGTATTATTTAAATCTAATCTAATAGCAATGTCCATTTTGCATTCTGTGCCTTTTGGTTGTGATCTGTGTTTGGTTTCGACCAGAAACTAAGAGGGACAACAGAAAAAAGACAGAATGGTGGTGGTGCACATGTTTTAGTCATAAAGATTCAGTTAGAAGAATTCCGTTTTATCATTTTTAACATGGTAGCAGAAGTCCGCGGTTGTTGAAAAATCAAAAATTAAAAGAAAAGAGAAAGTCCACGACATTGGTAAGAATGCTTTCATAATTTCATGTTAAGTTTTAACTTTGTTCACTCAAATTATGACTATTGTTTATATAAGCGAAAAACTGACTTATTAATTTTTAGTCAAGATTTAAATGCAATAAACTAGGTTAGTTTAGTAAACAGGTTAACCCATTGGTGAAACAAGATTTCTCACCATTAAAAAAAAAAACCGACCGCATCAGACAAACATAATCAAATCTGATCTATGGTGACGCGTTGTCTCGCGCCAGTCAAGATGAACTCGTCCGATTTTACTCGATTGAGCCTGAGCCAAAAGCGAGAAAGATGCCCGCCCTTCTTTTTTTTTGCTTACGAATAATTTTATTTATTGTAATCATCTGCTTATTATTCTAATGTTATCATGGAGTTTTTTGTTTAAAGTACGTGCTTAATGTGACGCAAACCTTTATAATAAAAGTTTTCTGTTCCTTCTTAATTTTGTTATAATTATTGCCCTTCAAGGGTCATTGTTAGTTTCCTTAAAATAAATAAAAAAATAATAAACTACTATAAGTATCGATACTTTAGGAGTATTTATTTGAGTAGTATCGAAAAAAGATTCGAGTACTATCGAAATGAGTAGGTATCGATACTTTAATGGTATCGGAACATCCCTAACTATAAACGCTGGTCATGCGAGCTTCGACGACGACAGGCGGCGCTTCTTGATGCGGCAAAGGGTGGGGGAACGCAGGGACGAGCCACGCACTTCCCGCCGAAACCAGTCGGAAAGCTCGGCCGTCTTATTTGCATACTCGATTGTTCTCCAGTCGGCGCGATTATTGGACACGGCCTGCTGCGACCGCGGCAAAGCGTTTATCGGTTAGCAACTACAATCGTACGTTTTATATCAGCCCGCGGCCGTACAGAAAAAGTTTTATATTTGGTTGTTTGTGTGATAAAGTTTGACCCGGACACCTCCAGCAATCCTGGAGTTGTATAGGACCGTGGTGATGAACATGACAGGACCGTCGACTTTGCCGGAAGCGTTAACCTTCGCGGGGAACAGGCATACCAGTCATATTTTGACATCGGTAAGTTGGTATTTCAGGCCATGTTTCCTAACGCGATGTGTCTCAATCTCACCCGAAAACCCGATAATTATTTTTTTAAGACAGGCACGCAGCGTATTCAGCAGGGAAAAATAAATAAAAAAGTCCACATTACTTTGCCCCAAAATTTCATTTGCATTTCGGGCATGCAAGGAAATAATGCGAGAACTGACAACCCTTCAAACTTCAAATTTATAGCGTAGATAATTTTTTTTAACCAGCGCCTTGCGTGACGCCGTTTTAATTAATCGAAATAATAAAAAAGTGTAAAACAAATTGTTATGGCCGAACAGGTCCGTACTTTGCTTAGAATTTAATTATTTGGGGTTTTGTTAGGAAAGATACTAAACAATATTTATTTATTTATGTATGCATTTATGTTTAAATCTAAAATAAAATTACTAATTACTTAAGTTACTTAAAATTATTCACATAATATATCAGTATCACTATCGCTATCATAGCCTGTCCTAATTATTATTTGTTCTATATTATTTGCAATATGGATATACCATTGTTCTGCTTTTTCTATATGTTTAACAGAATTTGCCCAACTTTGTAGAAGGATGTTAAAAACTTCGGTTTCTATAAGTTTGAGGACATTGGAGTTTTGGATTGTTGCTTTTGTGTCACATCAGGAAGGGGTTTTAGTGAACTGTCTGCCGTGATAACTTGCATTGTCCATTACAATCACGCTATTAGGAGGAATGTTTGGAATTGTTTTTAAACCAACTTTGAAATAAATCAGCGGTGGTGTGTTCACGGTAATCCAGAGAAGGATCTTGAATATTTTTCGCAGACAGAGAAAGTCCATCTTCAGAGCCAGCATGCAAAATAGTTATTCTTTTACCCCTTTTTGATAGATCAACCCAACCCTTTTCCAGGGTATCATAAGTGTCAAACCAGGTTTCATCCAAGTAAATAATTGGCCTTTGTTGTTCTCTGTAAATCCTAATTTTTTCTAGATATTCTTTAAAATCTAAAACCCATGTGTTGAATGCACTTCCATAAGGTAGTTCTGCCACATTTAACACCGGTTTCACCTTTTTCAAGCCTCCTAATTAAGATATCTAATGTAGACACGCTTTGTTCCTCTCCTAACTGGTAAATTTTACGCCGTATCTTGGATCACTTTCATCTAGAGTCGAGAAAATGTCAGCATCAATTCTTTTTTTCCTCGTTGAAACGGGATTATTCGCAATTTTCCATACAGTTGATGTTGGAATTTTCGTCAATATGGCCGTTTATTCTAAAGATGGTTGCTCGCTGGCGCCCCGTTCAATGAGAGTCAAAAATAAACATTGTTTATAACTTCCTTAGTCTCAATTGTGTATGGCTTTTTGCGTATTGCTCAGTAGGTTGTTAAAGTTTCTCTATTATAATTCAGACTACCCTGTATATAAAATATGGATTCCCAAGTTTACACTTCACAATATAACCTCTATAATCGGATTACTAAATATTAGTTTTATGATACGATTAAAACCGAGAAAAATGCTTGAAAAGTCCTTAAAAACACAAAAAGTCTTAAAAATTGGTAGACTTTTTCATATAAACAAAACAAAATTTAAAGTCTTACCACTTTTCTTGTTATCGAAGCATAAGATTTCAATTTAGACACTTTCTTGGCTCTTGCGTTTCTTTCTAGACATTGCCCGTTTTCAGAAAATTGATCCAAATGCATGCCTTACATAAAATAAGAAAAGTGTTTACGTGTATGTTTAGGAGTTTTATGTTTTACTAGATACAGAAACAATGAAAATATTAAAAAAAAAACAACAACATAAATGCACTTTTAAACTTTTCATAAAGGTAGAAATCAGTTCGTCAAACTTGATAATGCCAAAGTGAGTGACCAAACTTGTGTGAGGTCTCGCATTATCCTGGTGGAACACTACACCCTTCCTGTTGATTAATTCGGGCCTCTTCTCTTTAAGTGAATCATTCAATTTGTCCAGTTGATGACAATAGACTTCTGAATTAATCGTTGTATTGTCCGACAAAAGCTCAAAAAAAAACGATTCCTTTGACATTCCACCAAACGGAGAGCATCACCTTTTTTTGGTGAATGTTGGCTTTTGACACGCTTTGAGCCGGTTCATCTTTTCTGCTCCATGACCTCTTGCGTTTAACATTGTTGTATACAACCCATTTTTCGTCCCCAGTAATAATCCGCTTCAAAAATGGATCATTTTCTTGACGTTTGAGGAACGAATCACGCACGTCAACGCGACGACACAAATTTCGCTCCGTAAGGACATGGGGCACCCACACATCGAGCTTCGAGGTTAAGCCCATGCCCTTCAAATGGCCATAAACAGTCGAATTCGACAAATTTAATCTCTCACCGATCTCTCGTGTGGTTATTCGCCGATTTGCATCAACTAATGCCTTTATCGCATCTTTGTCAGCTTCGACCGGCCTTCCAGACCGTGGTGCATCTTCGACATCAAAATTGCCGGATCGAAATTTTGCAAACCAGTTCTGGCACTGACGTACTGTTAACACGCCTTCTCCATACACATCCGTCAATGTTTTTCTCGCTTGGACAGCATTTTTACCTTTTCTGAAGTAAAAAAGTAAAATATGACGAAAATGCTGCTTATTGCTCTCCATATTTAAAAGGGCACCAACCAAAAACTACTGCGTACAATTAATAGAACTTTTTCACACACAAGCCTTACAATATCAGCTCTCAAGACATATAATGGTTATGCGGCTTAAGTGTGAAGTTGGTTTCGAAAAAACGTAATTAAGTCCCCTGACGGGAAAAAACGACATGACTTTCCGAACAACCCTATAAAACAACAGCAGCGACTCATAAATATTGAGAAAACAAATAACAAAATGATGTCTCCTTTTTGGTTGTACTAGAAGACTCCGAAAAACTCCGAAACAATGTGGCTTCACTGCATGGTGCCTTTTTAAAATGGTGAAATAATGCTGGTTCTTCGGAAACGCAGGTCTCTGACATTGTGGTAATAAATATAAAATGTGGAAAACATGTTTATGCAATGTGCTAACATCACATCAATGCGACGGCATTATATTTTTATCAGCGCAAAAAAACGTCCGATAAAAAATACCAAAATATTAAATATTACATCGATGTTTACAAATACGTATGGCGATTTAATGGAACTGTTTACTTAAGGATTTTAAAACAAATCGTAAGAGGTAATTTATTACACGCTGCAGTGTGATCGAGATGTGCAGATTTTATGCCCCCAGAAACAATAAAATAAACAAACAAGAAACAAAATTAGATAAGTACTGTATATATATATATATATATATATATATATATATATATATATATATATATATATATATATATATATATATATATATATATATATATATATATATATATATATATATATATATATATATATATATATATGGGGTTTGTTACAGCTCGCGCCGTTTTCCCTCTCTCAAGCAGACTCTCCATTCATCTTTGTCATTCCAATCTCCGTCTTCCAACCCCCTTTCCTCCATGGCTTCATCTATTTCATCCTTCCACGATCTTCTGGGTCTTCCTCTCTTTCTACGTCCCATAGGGCTCCACTCTGTGATTTTCTTTATCCACCGTCTATCGTCACTTCGTCTGACATGACCATACCATTTAAGCTGTTTTTCTGCTATTGTAGTTAATAAGTCTTTTTCTACATTCATTTGCCTCTTGATTTCTGCGTTACGTATTCTATCCATGCGTGTTCGTTGGCAACACCTTCTCCAATATTCCATTTCGACGGCGGTTACTTTAGATTTGTTCTTTTTGTTCAATAGCCAGGTTTCTGCTATTGTCTTAAATATTGTTGTTTTTGTTTTCTTTGTTAATTTCTTGTTCCATATAATGGAGTTCAGTTGTTTTATACATGTTCTACCCTGACCTAGTCTAGATTTGATTTCTTCTTCTCTTGTTCCATCTTTTGTTATTATACACCCTAAGTATTTAAATTTGTCTGTTGCTTTTACGGTTGTGTTTTCATCTATTTCTAAATCTTCGATTTCCCCTTCTTTTGTTGTTAGATATTCTGTCTTTTCGAAGTTTATTTCCAAACCTACCTTCTCATATTCCTCTTTCAGCTTTCTGAGCATGTAACTCAAGTCGTCTTCATCCTGGGCTATGACCACCTGGTCGTCGGCAAAGCTTAGGGTGTATAAGTGGTCGTCGCGTACTGGGACTCCCACACCTTGACATTTTCTTTTCCATTGTGTTAGCGTCCTCTCAAGATAGATCTTAAACAACGTTGTTGATGTAGGGCATCCTTGTAGTAGGCCCTTTGATGTTGTGAATCGATTTGTGTACCTATTACCTATTTTAACCGACAACTCGTTGTTCTTGTACATTGTATCTACGGCTTTTATTAGTTCTCTTTCTATCCCAATATCTTCCATTGCTTTCCAAAGTTGTTGTCTGGGTATAGAGTCATAAGCTTTTCTTATATCTATGAATGCTAAATGGATGTCTCTGTTTTTAGCTTTTTTCTTTTCGATAGTCTGCCTTACCGTATATATCTGATCAACGCATGACTTCCCTGCCGTGAAACCGGCTTGATCTTCACCTATTTTCCCTATTATCTGGTCTTCTATTTTGTTTTTGATTATCTTTCCATATAGTCTTCCCATGCTTGATATAATGCTAATTCCTCTGTAGTTGGTACACTTCCTACGACCCCCCTTCTTGAAAATAGAGCTTATATATGCCGTATTCCACTCCCTTGGTAACGTTTCTCCATTTATTGCTCTTTCAAACATGTTTTTCAATATTCTGAATAATTTGTCCGACCCATACTTAATAAGTTCATTCACTATCCCCCCTGGCCCTGGTGATTTTTTGTTTTTTAATTCTTTAATGGCTTTTATTATTTCTTTTTCTTCTATTGTTACATGCTTTAGATTGTTGTTAGGTTGTATTTGGTATGTTAGTTGTTGCCAGAATTGTGGTCGTGTCTCCGTTAGTAGTTGTTGATAAT